ACCTTACCCGAAGATAACATCATTGTTGTGCGGATAGAGACTGTCAAAAAGTGATTTATCAGCAGATTCGGACAAGCTTAGGCATCGGTATGAGTCAAGTGCACAAAATCCTCCATGAACATTTAACGGGTCAGGAAGCTTTGTACCCGGTAGATACCTGATAATTTGACAGAGGCCCAAAAACTCCGTCGTGTTAATTGGTGTCGTGAAATGGTTTAAAAATTTTACGGAGGTGACTCAAATTCTGTGTTCGACATACTTACAGGTAACGAAAGCTGGATTTATTGTTATTATCCTGAAACTAAGAGACAGTCTGCTATCTGGATGTTTCCTTCCGAAGAGTTGCCAACTAAAGTGAAGAGAGTGGGAAAAAAGATGGTGGCCTCGTTCTTCGAAAGGACAGGTCATTACTGACAGACTATATACTAGTATTAATTTTTTTAGAGGATCGACAGTTCCTGCAGAGTGGTACACTAACAACTGTTTGCCACGAAAAACGACCTCGCAGTAAGATCCTCCTTCACCAAGACAACATCGCGTCTCACACCGCCAAACAAAGAATCGACTACTTGGCGACGTCAGACGTGGCATTACTGGTTCACCCGGCCTATTGCCCCGACCATGCACCTTATGATTTTTATTTATTTCCGAAAATAAAAGAAAAATTTCGAGGAAAACGTTTTATAGACGCCGCGGAAGCAGTGGCTGCGTTTCAAAATGCCGTCGAAGATACCCCTAAGGACGAGTGGGCAAAGTGCTTTTCTCAGTGGTTCCATCGGATGCAGTGATGTATTGATATAAATGGACACTAATTTGAAAAGATATAATAAAACTAATAGCTTTTTTTATAGAATAAGGGTGACACACGAGCACACAGTCCACCTGATGGTAAGTGGATGCTGTGGCCCATTGTGAAACGTACATTTATCTTCAATTAAGAATCAAATCGCAGATGCGTTGCCAGCCCTGAGGACTGAGATGGAATTCCTCGTTTCCAGTAAAAAGGGTATCTGCTTCTCTACACTCAATATACGAAACACAGCAGCATTAAGCTGCTATTTTAAGCTGGTATTATGGGCGAGCGTGATCCTTCCCCGGTCGAGCTGACCCATTCGTGCTGCAATCACAATATAGCTGCAGCATGGCTCTACCACGCAAACGCTAGTTTGTTCCGTTTTCGATTTTCTAAGAAGTTCCTGTGTCACCCGCGTACATGTACAATATGGTGTTGTGCTTATGTGGCGAAATAAATATTTTCTTTCCTTTTTTCATAAGGTGAGCCGTCAAAGGGTTTTGATAAATAGTACTATTATTTATTCTGTGGTTTCGAGCTATATGAGCGGATGTTGCCACTTTGGCTTACTGATCCGTTGTGCAATGTTACCGACGTTAGTAGTTGGATATGCTTACTTCTAAGTCTATCACACCACAGAGAAACTCCCAGCATAGCCATAGCTTGCAATTCAGGATAGGACTGGGTCTTCTCGGTATGAGGTCGGCTCTGAAAGAAGATCTAAAATTTTCAGCAGGCGAACTTTTTTATGGTGAACCAATTCGCTTACCTGGCAAACTTGTACCATCGGACAACGTAATTTCTCCGCCTGATGTTATTGATTTCATCGTTCAACTAAGATGGCGGATGGAAGCCGTCCACTGTCTACTGGTCATCACGCCCGACCATTTTCATTTATGTTTGAAGATTTGGAAACGTCTACAAACGTTTTGCTTCGTGACGACACCGTACGACGTCCACTTCAACCTTCATATACCGACCCGTAAAAAGTCTTACACCGAAGAGACAAGACTGACACACTTGATATCAAAGGCAGAGAAATGACGGTCAGCATCGATCGCGTCAAACCAGCTCATGTTGACACAGACTTAAGCACTGCTACTCTTTCGCCTTGGTCAACCAGTGCTGCGACTTCGTCTTCAAAAGCTGTTCCCAGGCCTCCGCTCTTGACCGCTGCACTTGCCATTTCTCCTACTTCCACTGGTCAACATTCCCTGCATCTAAGTCACCTTCAAATGCACAAACGCTAACCGCTCCAATAATTACAAGGGCTGGTAGAGAGATCAAGTTTAGGGACATTTTAGATTTATAACTTTTATACCTTGATTTTTTAATAGCTTTTCTTTCTCCATAGGGGGTGACGTGGCGTGGTGAAATGCCACGTATCCAAGACTGAGAAATGGCATAGTAGTTTTATGTGTTACGAGATTGGTCTGTAATTTATTAATCTATATTCTGTTATAGGGTCGTGGAGGAGTAATAGTGTTCTGTGGTCGTGGACACTGACCTCTATATATACAAGATACCTATATAGAGGTCAGTGATCGTGGAGAATTAGAAATAGAAGACGCTAAAAAATTGTTCTCGCTTAATCACCTCTAGATTGGTCTGTAATTTATTAATATGTATTCTGTTATAGGGTCGTTTAAGACAGAGAATTAGAAATAGAAAGCGTCAGAGGTGTATTTTTAATTTTTTTTCTCCTTCGTATAATATAATATTAAATAGGGATTGTAAAGTTCGTCTGTTCTTTTATTTGTATAAACTGAAACGTCGCTACACAAAACCCTATAAGGTCGGTTGGAGCAAGTGCCCCTACGGAGCAAGTGCGACGAACATCAATATCTCATAAACCAATACAGTATTTGAAAAATGTGCCATAACCTGTCTTTCTAAATCCGAAAATTTAAGATGTCGCAACTGGGCCTGTTACGATGTGAGTCGCCATGTTGTTTTGACCATTTTTTTCTCTTGGAGTCCTCGTGGACAAGTGCTGTGCATATCAGTACGAATCTTAAGAAAAGCGACTACCGAGTGATTTGAACCAGGTAATTGCCTTCTCTAAACATTCTTCATAAACCTGTATATATTTTGTTTCTATCTCACAAATAATTAACTAGCGATGCTTCATTTTTATAACCTAAAATCAACTAAGTGAGGCAAGTAGTAATCGGTAAGTGCACACACACACGCACTTACTCCGAAACAGAAGTTGAAAACATTTAAAGAAAATAAGTGGTACCTAGCTATCTATATTCTAACGAATATAGGTTGGGAAGTATTTATTTATTTATTACACTTTATGCAATTTAAGTTATTACGTAGGCGGACTTAATGCCGTCGGTATTTTTCACCAGCTATCTATACATCTAAATATAAAAAAGCGAAATACCACTCACTGACTAATCGCGAAATCTCAGAAACTATTAACTTGAAATTTGGCATGTTAGCACTAAACTCTAACTATTTTCTAATGGGACAAATAAGAGAAAGTTCCTAATTTTCAAACACATGCTTACATTCCAAAGAGAGAAAACTATTAAGTGGAATAAGAAAATAAGAGATATACTAAAATACTATTTTTAATAAATGATTTATTTGATAAATGTTAATTTTAAAAAGATAAATAATGAACTTATTGAGACTGATTTAATTTGTTTTGCTTAAGACTGAGATTTTGTAAACTTTATATAAGCAACAAGTTGCACCAGCCACTTTAAATAAACATTAATCCCTAAAATGTTTTTTTATGATTTTGTACTCACTAACGTCTTGTAAAAAGATTATAATTTAATTAAATACCATTTTACGTTTAAAAAATGTTCAGTACCCCTGAAAACAAACGTATGGCGCACTTACCCAAAAGCACCGACGTTCCACAGAGCAAACATTCTTTGACTAGGTACTCAGAAAAAATTGAAAGCTTGGTTGGGAAGTGTTAATGCATCCACCATACAGTCCTGACTTTACAACATCAGATTTTTACATTCCAAGAGAGTACTGGCAAAACTACTTGTCGCAATTTTTTGATCAAATATCCCAACATTTCTACAGCTACAAGATGGAAAAGTTACCGAACAAAATGGCACATATACATTACAATTAAATTATGAAGGAATTTTTTTTTGAATTTGTATATAAAATACGAAGAAACTTTTTCCCCGATCTTTCATTTTGTTTCCTTCTTTAACAGTTTTGTTGAATTCTGGCTTTCACTGAATTTATAGTAGTTGTGTCCCTAACAGCAAAGGGAACCCTGATCTTTTATGGTCTTCTACAGAATTGTTGCAAGCTACCTGTTGTCGATAGCACAATGTACAAACATACGGTTCGTGTCTAGGTTTTGAAGCGAAATGACTAACGGCTCCAAACCTATGTGCATACATCATGAATGCAACTTTTCTACTAAAATTTTCTTAAACTCCCCACTCCATATTATTTAGAAATCACTACATATGGCCGGCATTAAAATACAAATCATTTTAATGTTATAATGGACTAAAGTAGTATTACACTAGAAATATTTACGAAATTTTATATTTATCTGAATGTGCCAGAAGCTTTACAATTTTCAGAGTACCTTCTTTGATAGCTGTAAAAAGTATGCTACACTGGAAATTTTTACAAAGTTGTCAATGAGAACCACCGGGAAACCTACTACGCCTTGGAAAATGAAGTCTCCCTACGTACGGACGTAGAGCAGAAAACCTGAATGCAAGATTTTCACAGTGCTGAACATATTTGTAAGATTACCTCCATAGGGGGATTTGCGCAATTATTTTTTACTACTTTCGTGTTATCAGAAAGACGCTGATGTCTTTCGGTCGCTTCTTACATACACGCACGGGACGATATGGATTGCCACTACACGGTACATCATTTAACCCTATAAAGTATAAACCCACAATATGCCTAAGAATTTATTTTTCAGCTAAACTTTAAATAAGCCTTGGACATGCGGGTTGGCGAACTTTTCACGAATGTGACACTGCAGCTCTTCATAGTCTTGGATTTCTTTGGTGTGAGACCTGGATGTCATTTCCCACAGTCGGCACGTATAACAGGCACGGTATGACACATAATGGCAGAATTCTACCAACCAAGCAACAGCAGATATTATATTATTAAAAATTAAAGTTTTAAAATAAAAAGGACGCATTGTGTTTTTAGGTTTTATTGTAGTCTTATAGTACTTTACAGAAGGCTCTTAAATTCTTGATGGATACAACATCTGAAACAAAAAAAAAATAACTGTCAAAAAAGCTAACTTTTTTTAAATTGTATAAATCCGAAACATTATATCAGTAATATTTTATCCACAATGAATTCAGGTTTCAAATGTCTTGGCATCATGCATAATTAAGAACAATTTTCAATCGTAACGCTTGGCTTGGCAAATTGGCATTCTATGTTCCAGACGGAAGCGTGAGACATTCATTTACAGGATGTGTGCGATTTGACTTCAAGTGAATAGATAAACCATGAAGTGGTGGTGTAGGAATATCCTCTACCCCAGATTGACTTCAAGTGAATAGTTAAACCATGAAGTGATGGTGTAGGAATATCCTCTACCCCAGATTGACTTCAAGTGAATAGTTAAACCATGAAGTGGTGGTGTAGGAATATCCTCTACCCCAGATTGACTTCAAGTGAATAGTTAAACCATGAAGTGGTGGTGTAGGAATATCCTCTACCCCAGATAATCAATCACGTGCATGTCATAAGAGGCGACAGAAGAAAAAGCTAAATGGGCAGCAGCATCTTACAATAACAAATCAAAGTAATAACCTGCGGTCACCAACCCACTTGCCCAGCGTGCAAACTATGCCTCTATGAGGCAATAGATGCGGAGACTTTCAGCATTGAAAACCTAATAGGCTGTGATGATGAATAATACAGTAATAGTACAGCAGCACAATAATTAACAATTCAATAAGTCTTTTATAACAATATTCAGTCAGTACATTTACTATTTTTCAATTACATCAATGTGTTGTTGTCTATTTGATTTAATGATATACATTATGTTAAGAAAACTGATACAAGAACTTCCTGTTATTTTTTTTTAGAATCAGGGTGACAAATGAACCCCTTGTCTGCCTGATGGTAAGTGGATGTTGTGGCCCATAGCCATCTACATCTATCCTGAATGAAGGATCAAATGGAAATAGTTGTCTCACCTCTAAGAATTAAGATGTCACATTTCCAGTAAAAAGTATTTTCGGGATCAAATTACAAAAGCATGTTAAAGAAGGAAGAAGATTGTTTTAATGGATTATCATCATCATTACAGCCCTTCTTCACAAGTCCACTGCAGAACATAGGCCTCCCCCAATGAATGCCACAAAGCATGGTCCTGAGCCACCTGCATCCATCGACTTCCTGGTTGTGTCACCGGGTCGTCACTCCATCTAGTGCGGGGGGGGGGGATTCCGCCCTACACTTCGCCCACAGGTACGATGCTGCCACTTCAGAACCTTTTTCCTCCTTACCTGGTGCTAGCTTAGAGCAGGTATACGTACGACGCGTATCCTGTGGCCCATGGAGGTATGTACGACGGTCTGTGGCCCATGGCGTGCGCGGGCAGGTTGTGTACAGTAGGATAGACAAGTTGCGCTGGTGCTAGCTTAGAGCAGGTATACGTACGACGCGTATCCTGTGGCCCATGGCGTGCGCGAGCAGGTTGTGTACAGTAGGATAGACAAGTTGTGCTGGTGCTAGTTCAGAGCAGATATACGTACGACGCGTATCCTGTGGCCCATGGCGTGCGCGGGCAGGTTGTGCTTGAAACGCGCGCGCACGCCGCCGCAGTTGCCATGCGGACGCGTCACCTTGCCCCAGATGGCGCGCAGCTTCGTCTTCTTGCCGCGCGGCCCACCCGCTATCGGCGTCCTCTTCTTAGCTCTGCACAAAATTGTTTTTATATATTTAGAAAAAGGGTGCCCAAACGAGCAGTCCATCTGATGATAAGTGGATACTGTGGCCCATACACATCTACATCAATCCTCCATGAAGCATAAAAACGCAGATACATTGTTCCTTTAGAATAAAGTCACGAGCATGTTTTTCAATACCAGGATTAAGGGATTTTTGATGCGTAATTCCTGGATCCCGGGGCTATCCAGGGCATTCAGACTATGTGGTTTCTAATTGGGCACAAATGAAAAAAAAAACTTAAGTTCTTAATAATTGTTTTTCATATTGTTGCACAACACAAATCACAATTTGAGAAAAAATAGATAAAACAAAAGAAACATAAGCAGCAGTTGAAAATGCTCACTCAGGTTATACACTGGTTGAAGGAATAGACAATAAATACCTAAATGCTGTTTCTAAGTGATATCCACAAACTCCTCCATTTTCGAACAGTCATTTCACATCTTATACTATTTGTCAAACCCAATACATTTTGTACTTGTACTTCAGGATCTGGGGATTTCATACTCTTATCAATTTCCAGCTGTAACTTTTCCTTTAATGTCAATTGGGATTGGAAGGTTTCTGGCCTTAACTCATCACCCGTCCATGATCCTGACCTTTCTTCATTTTCAGTGTCATTTCCGCTATTAAGTCTTTTAACAATACTCTATATTTGCTTCTTCACTGTGTAGGAATTGAAAATAAGTCATGTTCATGCCATTCCAATTCCGATCATAACTGATTGTCATAATTTTCTTGTGGATTTTGTAAATAATTCAACATACCAGTTAAATCCTCACTTTGTTGTTGCTTTATATGTTCCACTATGTTTTCATTCTTTTGGCAAGTGTATTTTTTGCTAGACAGTTGTTTTATAAGAAATTTCAAAGTGGCTACAACTGTGCATAAATTAGAATCTCACCAACAGATTAATTCTAATATCAATTTAATTGGGATCAGCACATCAAGAACTTTATATACCAATTCAAAATCAATATCTTCTAAGCTAATTGGATGATTGAGATCTAAAAGAGCTTTTTAAATGGAGGTTTTCAAAAGAAAATATCACTCCAGCATTGTTAAGACTATTCTACCTTTTCCATGTTCAATTCTCACATATTTTCGAATTACTGTTTTATTTTTCAACAGTGATCTTTTGAAATAAACTACAATGTTGCGGATTTTCATTATCAGGTCATAAATGTTTTAATCCTGTGTTAACCGTGTTTTCGCACTTCTCACGCAAGATCATTTTGTGACATTAAGTTTAAGACATTTGTGATTCTGGACAGTCTAGGTCTTCTAAATGCTCATCATCATCGCTGTTGTCCACATAATTATTGCTGGTTCATTTATAGTATCATCTGAGGTAGGGCTATCATGCAAACAGTTATGTTTTACATAAAGCATATCATAGAGAGCCGAATTGTCACTATGTGCAAGACACAATTATTGTTTAGCACAAACAAGCTGTCCCACCTTTATCATAACATTTGGTCCATTGGTTTAAATAGCCACGATGTCAATTTCCAGGGAAATATCAAATCTACTTAACCTCACTTTCAATATAAAAAAAAATTAAAGTACCAGCCTATATGGTCATAAAAAAAATGTACTTTTTAAAAGTTTTGAGTGAGCCCATGTTTGATTGTGAATACCATACGCTAACAAAAAGTATGATAATCTTATTAATAAAACATTGACAATCATGTTTAGTATAATGTAGAAATAACCATAATATTCAAGAGGCTTAAACATAAAAAATATTTTTGAATCAATAAAATAAAGCCGCATACAAAATTTATTTGTCTCCTATCAACTTACGGGACGAAAAACGTTTTAAAATTGTAGTTTACTTTGAAAGCAATAAACATGCCATGTGATAATGTATAAATTATTGCAATAATACAATGCTAGTGGAAAAAAAACTCATTCTAATTTGTGTCTCCAAAAGTTATCCAGTGTTACTCTGATTCAATATGGGATAGATTTTTTGTTTTCAACATTAAACAACATTATTGACCTAATTTCGATGAGGCAATGCCGTAGGCTTACTGTCAAATGTCAGTTTTGACATATTTTTTTCATTTGTAGTATATGTCATAAAACTTTATTAAGTTAATCGCGCATGATTTATGACCGGTATTCATTGTTGAGTTTTGAATTTTCGAGTGTTTGTTCCAGTTCATTATGTGTGTGATGGTGTTTGTTATGTCACACACTGGAATGTTAGAGGCTGTTCACATAACTTAACCGACTATGGTGAAATGAAAAAAGTGTAATGTTATTATGACATACCTACATAAGAGTGGAGTGTTATACTACTCTGATTTAATATTACTAGTGGTCCCTCAGTAGCCGAACTAGGCCTTTCGTCAGCTTTTCCACTTGCACAGGACCATATAAAAAATGTTTAAATGATAAGAAGCATTTTTTTAAATTTTATTAAACGACAAAATATAAATAAGTTATTATTAAAACACATTTTTTAATGTGGCTTTATTATATTTGTATGCTGAGTTCATTAGATAAAGACAAAAAGCTTTTTTTAAATCATTATATATTAAATTAATACTATATAATAGTTCGCCCATTGATTACATTAAAAAACGCATTTTTAAATTTCAATTTCTTCTTAAATATGGCTCTGTGCGAACGCGAATAGTGTCAAATGGGACAGCTCCTATAATATTCGTTATATTTCTTTTATGAATAACCTACTTTGATTTGTACATACTGTTTTTTGTAAGCACATTATTTTGTTAAAGGCTTTAATTCTACTGTGTTGTGTTATTTTGGTGTTCAGTTTCGCAAACATGCATGATATGCATAGTCTAAGATTCGTTTTTGATTATTTAATCTTAATTTCATGAAAATAAGTAATTGATAATATTTTAAAATGGATTTTACTTGAAACTTTTTTCAAGTGAACATTGACCCTTATATAATTCCAGTAAGTTGTGTTGTGTGTTATATCTTCCAGTGCGTTATTTACACATTTTTACGACCTTACCCATATACATCCCACAGCCGGGCACAGGGCTCCCCTCATTTCTGAGAAGGTTTGTCTTACTTTCAATATACAAAGACAATTTTCAGCTGCCATACTTCTGCAAGTCTTATTTTGCTATTTTTTTTATATGAATGAATGAATGTTGACAGCCATGTATCGTTTATTGGATGTTGAAGTCCACTTGTCGAAAGAAAGACTAAATCTTTCACCTGCACTTTTCAAATGTTTCAGTTCTGCAGTTACTTGCTTTATGATTTTTTCCAAGTAATTCATAACACGTTTTGGAATGGTGACAGCTGACTTTGGTAAATCTGTGTATTTTGCTAAGAGCAATTTTCTCAAATCATCTGAAGTTATAAACACACTGAATGGAAATCCCTCTCATGCAAACATTCATGCCAAAACATCACATCCAGGCTATCGTCGGCACTTTTAGTAAAATAATCATCTAACTTTCGTTCGGTTGGAAATGGTGCTGTGTTCAGATTTTCAGAATCATGATTTGTTGAAGCTGATATAACCTTGATGTTATGTTTTGATGACAAATGTGTATGTAATCCCTTAATCAATCTACCCAAAGTCTTGAGAATTAAGTCTTAAAAATATTTAGCACTAATTATCACTGTCTTTTTATGAACAGTCTCCCGCCATTTAAAATACTTAATTTCAAATTGACTTTTAAATTTAAATGTCGTAGCCTACGTAACCTAATCACTGCCAGAATAATAAATGAAAATGAAAATAAAACCTGATTGGCGTATTTATACTTTCGTACTGGGAATCCCTGATGGGAAATACCCCACAACAATATGATATGAGGTGATCGGGTGATTCCCCTGTTGGCCAGTAGGGGAATCACTTTAAGAGGTATTGTATTGAAGTATTCCGAGTGTGGAAATCCCTTCTAAGTTCTACAACAAACATATTATTAGGGCTGTATGTGTGTAGTATGTATCATACTGCGTATCTAATGGTTGTTTTTTGTCGTTATGTAATAATATAATCTAGGCAAGGTTATTGTCAAGGCGCAACAGACTAGGAAACACAAACTAAACCTATTTGTGGCAATTTAGAAAATCCCGAGATACAAATTCCATGGATTTTCGGGGCCAGAAAATAATTGTTATGGCTGTACCACATATTAACAAACAACAAAAACATATCACTTGTTAACTGCCTCAATCGTCTAGTGGTCGTAAACGCGACAGCTAATGAGGTCCCGTGTTAAAATCCCGAGTGAGGCCAAAAATCAGTTATTAGGTTTTACTTTCACAGCCCGGAGTCAGGAAAATGGTAGTGTTTCACACCCATGACTCAGAAAGCACATAAAGCCCTTAGGCTTTATGTACAGCAGAACCTTAGTTCTGTGCCTGATTTCTCACCAGTTGTATTGAATTACTGTCCCATTCGACTATGAGAGGAAATACAGAGTGCACCTGTGCCTGCACATACACTTGGGAACTGTATGTGATTCTGTCCTATATAGGTGGCTAGTATCCATTGAAACTAGCCACCATGAGTGACATTCTATCATTTATTCAAACTATTACATTAGAAAATACTTATTTAAATAAAAAAAAAACATATTTATAGTTTAGTGTTATAATGCATGTGCACATGAAGTGGCAATGTTAGAATACCCACCATCCCATATTGTCCCATGTGTCGTAAAATATGACAGATGTAATCAACAGGAGATGGTCAGCAGCATCAATAAAAACTGCAGTTGCTAACTGCCAGATGGATCAATTTCACCTGACCAACTGAATTTTTCAAACACTATTGAAACTATTTTTTAAATGCAGCACAATTATTATTATGGTTTAAACATCTGCCAAAAATGTTTTAAATGAACTAAAAAATGTATAATTGTGTGTATCTCTACTAGTCTCATCAATGAGGGTGAATCAGTTAATATGTCACCACTCTTGGACTACATTATCTTTAAAAATATATCAGCAATTCCATAATTTTTCATTACTAACAACAATAAAATCTAGTAAATGAATAAGTAGACAGATAATTTACCACTACTAACCTGTACACATAGACACACTTTTTGCCAGCATAGAAGATTGCATCTTCTCGGCTACGGGCACCCTCCACCTGAAATGTGATAAATACTATTTTTAGCCAAATTTAATTATATCTGACAGTTAAATGATACTTATCTAAATCAGTTAATAAATTGACCACATAGCTGGTTCAGGTTTCAAATGTCTTAGGCATCATTCAAAAATAATCAGTTGAAAGGAGTGGGCATTTTTAAACATACATAATATGATCCTCTCTAAAAGTATTTGATATTGAAGTAGCAATTTCAATAACTTATTATATTCCTATGTCAAAATAAATACCCTACAAAAGCAAACAGTAGGCTGAAATACATTTAACAGTAACTGTAGTTTATTGAAATGGAAAAGCACATCACTACCACAACCAAGTAAGTGAATTCCTTTACATCGCACCAAAGACCGCTCAGCACTGGCTATAGAACAGGTGTCATCTCCTACTAGTTCCCCTCCAAACTGAATTGGACACCTAAGAAATGCCTTAAAATTCTTCTTTTGGCACTGTGCCAAAAGATGAAAATATAAAAATTATTACGAGCCTTTATATAGGATTTAATTACAACATGCACCAGCAGGAGTAAAACAAACACACACAAACTCATTTATCTCTTTCAACGCTCAATCATACTAAACATGTTAAGACAAGTATCGATGAATCAGCCTATTGCTACCAGATTGCACTAATAGCATTATTTAACAAAAACTTGTTCCAACTTGATTGCGTACGGCGTACGGGCTATGTTAAGTATCTAACTAGAGTAGAGCTGGTCAGTAGTTATAAATGTTATTTTAAAATTATAATTCCTACTATTTATTATATTTTGCCATGAATAGGGTACTCCGGGTACAATAGAAAATTTCATATTGATTCTATAATGCCAAACTCCTTCATAGAAAAGTAGTCTCTAAATATAAGTTTTAATGGTTTAAAGTGCTGTGGGTGGGTGCGGTCGCATACGACCGCTCAGGATTTGACGGATGCATGCGATTGCATGGAATTTTTATGGGGATTGAAGGGAATGCGACTGAATGGGATTTTTAAGGGAATCGAAATATAAAACAACAGCCAACAGCGAAGTTTTGACGAACTCTACTATTTTGTAACGAAATCTATGTTAAGTATTTCTATTTTATATACCATCATACAGGGCAGAAATATAAAGGCAGACGCTGTATGCTCGCACATTGTAGTTACCAGTAACCTAAAGATGAAGTGTTAAAGGAACTTACAATCCACCTGATGATAAGTGATTACTGCAGTTCATGGACACTGAAAGCTAACTTCAAACAAAACAGGCTAAAAAGTTGTTGTCACAGCTGAGGACTAAGAAGTAATGGGTTAATATTTCCGATATGGACCATCGATTTCAAAGCCCATATTTTTTTTGTAGATAGTACTCACTAAAAGAAAGTGTTTTGCAAAGTTTTAGGTTGCGGAAACTTACGGTACATGAGATATATTTTTTTAAACTTTTCATACAAATTGGCAAATAACACGCAATTACACCAATTACAAAATGAATTTGACAAATCATTGATGTCAAACGTCAATTAGTGTAGGGTTCCGAATATTTTGAAAGTATCGATACGTACTCGATACCAAGTATCGTATCAAAGTATCAATACTACTTGGTATTGAGTACATTTCGTTAATTTTGGAGACTAGGGGGGTAAGAAGCCGGGAAGTTGTGCTCCGGCGCTCCGTGGCAGCTCCGGCGCTGCGGGATGAGCAGTGCCTCCGCCCTAGCGTAGGGAAGCACAGGCACCTGGGCTCGGGGCATCTCGGTGCCTGCACTTCCCTACGGCGGGCGGGCACTGCTCTCCCTCCGCGCCTCTGGGCTCTTATATACACTCTAGGGGTAGGGCAGACAAGACCACGTGGATAGTGGGGTGCTCTGATTCGGTTTTGGGTACTTTTTGAATATTAAATAAGTCAATAAGTAAGTAAACACTTTATTGTAGTAAGAATTAGATAATACAGAAAGTTGCAAACAATAAAATAAAAGTACAAAAGCTGTACTAATTAAGAAATACAAACAAGTTGCAAACAAAGAAATACAAGTACTAAGGTGGAACTTAAATAGAGTAAAGTTTATTCTACTTTATATACATATATAATTGCACTTATCAGCTCTTCCTATGCATCTAATTGGTTTGTCATAATTTTTCGTCTCCAAAATTAACGAAATGTACTCGATACCAAGTAGTATTGATATTTTTGATACGATACTTGGTATCGAGTAGGTATCGATACTTTCAAAATATTCAGAACCCTACACTAACTGACGTTTAACATCAATCATTTGTCAAATTTATTTTGTAATTGCGTGTTATTTACCAATTTGTATGAAAAGTTAAAAAAAATATATCTCATGAACTGTAAGTTTCCGCAACCTAAAACTTTGCAAAACGCTTTCTTTTAGTGAGTACTATCTACAAAAAAAAAATATGGGCTTTGAAATCGATGGTCCATATTGGAAATATTAGCCAAGTAATGCCTCACAGCCTGTACTTATATTATACTGGCTCTATATAACCTTCATACTTAAACACAGCAGAGCACTGTTATTTTAGTGGCAGAAATAGATAGTAGGGAGATACCTACATACTCAGATGGAATCCTAAGCAGAAAAGGAGTCATATCACCCATTGAATCTACCACAACTTCAAAATATCCTTATTAGAAAAAATCAAAGACAGTTTTGTGGCCTTAATCTAATATTAATCGAGTAATCTTGCAAACTCGTAACATATCATTTCCTTAGCACGTGATCCGCAACTGGAATGTGATTCCAGGAAATATAGTTTCCAAATTATGTGTGAATGCATTCAAAAATAAACTTTATAACTGGCTACAAACTAACAAAACAGTGCTTTAAAGATGATAAAATTATTAGACTATCAATTTGAACACACTATGATAGGCTTATACAGTGAAAGCTGCTCAACCATAAACATATGATAAGCTGACCTAGACTGAAAAATAACTGCAGGACTGGTTGGGTTGATTTACTCGTAAAACTATTATATGCACATGCAAGTATGTCTATAAAAAGTAACAATTCTATAGATAATGCTTACCTTTAGAAGTGCAGTGTTTTCATGTTGGTTACGAAGACCACGTTTGTATCCTGTGAAGACTGCTTTCGCGTAAAGTCTGCCGTGTCGTGGTTTAGGGTTCACTTTGCGGACTGCTTTTGGTGGCTCAGCGGGCGCCGCAGGAGCAGCAGCCTTAGCGGCTTTTTCTTTTGGAGCCTTTGTTTTAGGCGCTTTTGCCTTAGGCGCTGTCGACGGTGCGTCAGCCATTCCTATGAAATCGCAATAATTAACGAACACGAATTAAAAATGTAGGTTATGTTGACATCTGAATGCTGTGTAATCTAAATTTATCTTTTAGAAAGAAACTAATCCACTAAAGTATTATACTGAAAGAGACTTAAATATTGCAATACTTTATATATTTTTTAATATTTCTCTCATATTTATAGTCATTATTTAATAAAAATCACAAATTCGGAAAACTAACCCAACACTTATTTATTAGTAGAAATGAAAGAAGAACGGTGTTGCAAGAAGCAATTATTTAAACCTGTCTAAAATTGTTAGTTGGAGTTGTTAAAACTACCAAACTTGTTGTGACGGCCTAAATTTAAAGTAGATTTATTTATTTGCGGGCTAAACCCTATTTTAGCATTATATTTAAAAAGATATATTTCAAAAATATTACATGAAACAATAGTATGCAATTTTGTAATATTTGTAATAAATAACAATTACTAAATTTTATACCCTTTTAGGAATTGTTTATCTTACATGGTAATAGCAGCTTTAATAATCTTATTTTATACTTTTTCGAATAAATAAACTTAAATTTAATACGAATGATTACACTTGTAATATAATATACGAATGATTATACTTGTATTATAATATTATAATCTGTAAGTATTAAAATAAATTACACATTCAATTAATTTTTAATTAAACTGATAAAATTACATCCATTGCGGTAATTTCAAAACGCAAAAGTCATTCTGAATCTGAGACATCTTTCAAAAAGTATCTGATTTGGACCAATCAGAACAGACCACGAAAAGAGACGAAGGAAAGATGGATTGTGGCTCTGTCAAATAATTAGTTTATATCGGAACTGATTTGCTTTAATTTGTGATAAAGAGTGCTGTAATTTTAAATTATAAATAATAATGGACTACTTATCGAATATAAATTGGAACAAAGTGACACCATGCCTTGTTTTATTAGTGCTAGAAGTAGTTTTAGAATGTATGATCTATTTTATTTTACCCAAGAAAATATAATTATTCATGTGAATGAATGTGTTTTGAAATACTTTGTGATAAAGTTTCAGAGTGCGCAACGCAAGCTGAGGTGAACAAACACCTGGAACTTGGTAGAGACTTCTTGGCTCGTGGTCAGCTCTCGGATGCACTGACACATTACCATGCAGCTGTTGGTTAGTGTCTAGTCAGTTTTGATTGCGGGCTTAGGGAGATGTGTCTGTCTGTCTGTGTGTCTTGCCACACTCTGATTTACTAGAATTGATATGATATGAAAATAAAATTAAAAATGATAACACCTATTTTAAACCTAATTGACCTTAGTCAAAAGTCAAAGGTGGGAGAGGTGGTGGACTGTTATTCTGTCTGTCCAGTATGTCTATTAAGTAAATCCTCCCTTTTTAATATAGAAGAAGGGGGCAAACGAGGATGCAGCTCACCTGATGGTAAATGACTTTCGCCATCCATGAATAACTGCAACACCAGGGGAATCGCATGTGCATTCCCGGCTGTTTAGAAAGGAGTAAGCTCTACAACCATAAAGACCCTTAACTGAATTTAAAACCGGAAAGAAGTCTAATTTGGAGGGTAATATTATATGGTAAATAAAATATTTATTAGTAATTGATTGGCTTAATGAATTTTAAGTCTTTGTTATTATAGAATACCTAATCAATATAATTCTTCTTCTTATTATTTTAAAAGTAAAATGGCTATGATTTAACTGATAATTCTCTGCAAATGTCAAGGTTGAGAAATAAAAGAGGATATTACACAAAAAAATTAAAAAGGAGGAATGTTAAACTTATATACCTATTGAATACTAGTTTTAGAGAGGATTTTGTGTGTAACTCAAGAATTTAAGAACCTAAAAAGGCAATTTAATTACCTCTTTATGACTGTTAACATAATTGCATCATTACAATAATGAAATTTCTTTTAAGTGGAATATCGGGTATATTTTGTTAGGAAATTATTATTATAATGATTTCTTATATTTACGCGAACACCTGCTTGGGATCCTATAATTAATAAAATTAAAACTAAACCCAAGCATACCACTGCAAGACTTCAAAATACAGTTAGTTCATTCTGCGTAGATCGGACCAAAGACAATAATTAAAAAGCTGAAGGTACTCCGGGTTAACTTTGACATCGGGACGTCAGTCACCTCAGTCCCCCGTGACCATGGGTGCTGGAAAACACCCGAAACGTCGGGTATTAAAATTAATATAAATAAAACGCGATAAAATCCGTAAAAGTAGTTTTAATCAATTATTATTATGTTAATAAACACAAGTTAAAATATGTATGACATAATTATAATATATTAAAATTATACAATATAACACAAGAGATCTGCACCAGCTTTTGATTTAATATTATCTACATATAGAGATTATGATATATATTTTAATTTAAATTATAATATTTTAGTAAGGTTAAAAAAATTATTATGTTAAAAAAAACAACATTTGTTTACCTTTATCAATTAAAATTTTTTCATATGTGGTAGAGCCACGCTTCAGCTATATTATGGTTGTAGCATGATTGGGGCGGCTCCACCTGGGAAGGACCACACTCTAAAGTAGCAGTTTAATGTTGCACACAGGAGACACGTTACTCAGGGGTGACAATGCATCTGCATAACTAATGTTTCAGGACTAGTATGTTATAAATTTTAAGAAAAATTTCATCCTTAAAGGTGGAAAAATGAGATGTTAAGACCTTAAATATTGTGACTTTCCTAAGACCACTTCATCCATCCACTACAGCCTAAAAATCTACTGCTGTGCATAGGGCCCTTAGACTGTCTTATAAGGGATATTGGCCATAGTTGCTGTTCTTGGCCGGTGGGTTAGCAACTGCAGTTTGTTATTTTGAAGTTGTTTGTTAGTTGGAAGGTGATACTGGCCATCTCCTGGTCAGTTTCCCTCTGTTACCTCTTATAACTGCCTGTAAATAATCAAAACTATACAAAAACGGTGCAAAGATGTGTCAAAAATTATTATTTTGGTTTTAAAGATAAATTGTACTTTTTATTAAAAGTATAATAAAAAAATTACTAATGCAATAATTAAATTATTGCTATAGATAATTGGTTTTTATCTAATCAAAGTTTGAAATATTTTATTTTAATTAGAATGTGACATAATATGATGAGATAATGGTAATGTTTATATTGTAGAGGGTGATCCAAACAACTACCTCACATATTTCAAACGTGGCACTGTTTATTATGCTTTGGGTAAAGCCAAGTTTGCACTGCAGGATTTCACAAAGGTATGCACTGTTATTTATGTGTATTATTAGTTTATTGTTTCTTATATGGTAACTTTAAGTTTCATCACTGATATATTAGAGAAGCCAATACAGTACAAATAGAGAATTACTGAGAGACGTCATTTCCTGGTATTAACACAATTAGGCAGGAATTATAAAGCTGTATAAAGTTTAAGGATATATAAAGACAGTCTATATTCACAGGAAAAGTACTGTCGACTGAAGACTGCCTTGTTGCTCTAGTATAGGCTGTAAGTGTGACTATTGTACATGTGGTTCCAGTTCAGATCCAGGGGTAGGCCAAAATTAGTTATTGGGGTTATCTGTCAATTCTCAGTAGTATTCTGTCAAGCAATTTTCAGTAGCATCTTGGAGTCTAATTTGGTACTGTCACACTTTGTCCTTCAAAAATTACATAAAGCTTTTGGTTTTGCACTCCCTCTGGTTGTGTTAGATTACTGTCCCATCAGATTATGAGAGTGGAGGGTACAAAGAGTGCACCTGTGCTTGCATAGTCAGCACTGCTTAGAGGATATATGTATATATATATTGATTCTACGTCCTTTCATTTCGCATTATTGTAGCGTCCACCACTTGTAGGCAATTTTTATACATTATGACAGCGAATATTGGTCCATTAAACAATTTCAAAGATAGTGTTTAACTCATTTCTTTGAAAATTTGCCATAATATGTCGATATACAAATATTCGTATATTGCCAGACGGAGGGAAACCAATCAGGACTCCCTTCCATATTACAAATTATTCAGAATCCCCGTAATATATGTACATAGTTTTTAATTCATTCTCCTGCTTAACGCAATTCCTTAGATTCCTTTGTATGGTGCGACATTGCCACTCTTATTAGTTATTCCGCTTTGTAATATTTTATTTATCACCTATAAATAATATATTTTGTTTATGTTGGTATTCAATAGATTCCTATAGTCTGTATTTTTCACAGGAGACAAAAATAACAGATCTTTATTAGATTCGTTTAGCACAAATAATACAGTTTTTATTATTCTGGTTCAGATTAGATTTAATGTTAGTCACTTAAGTTTCGTATATTGTTCAAAATAATGAAATAAATCCACAGAATGTGCAGTTACGAAAAATACGCAATATCATTTTTGTCTCCGGCGAAAAAAACAGATAGATATCATGATTAATTTACCAACAAGTTATTCGTTTACTAAATACGAAAAAATATCTAGGATTGCCCAGCCGTGATACATTATACATTGGCTATATTATTATTTATTTTACTGTTGTAAATAAGTACTAATCGTAGATATTGACAGGTTTAATAGAAAGTTCATTTTCTTATATATTGTGACTAATAACCTAATATGACCTTGGGAAGAAACTCATTTTATTATAAGGTTTTACTGCATTAACTGCCAATGAGTTGTTAATTACTACAATAGACCGTGGCGTATTGTTTCTGACATGAACAACTCCGAAAATATAATTTATTTACTTGATCGTATTGAGTTTTGGTGCTCTCACCGCGAGTTTATTTTTATGGTCACTACCTTAAGGATGAGTGCGAACTATTTACCTAATCTGTACAAAATTACTCTACTTAACTAGATTCATTTTTGTAAAAGGCTATTTTTGTTAAATTATGATATTATGTTTGGTTTTGCAGTTAGTTGAAATACAATTTATATGTGTTTGTTGTTATAAATATTGGACGCTATATTACTAAAAACATGTATATCGTGCTCTAATTGGCGTCCGTATTGTGGCCTACGCACATTGAGAACTTTCCACGCTTATGATTGCTAACATTTAAGTTTCTTTAGTTATATTTAGAAACTTAGATAAATAAACATGTGTAAGTTGATTAATGTATTTGACATGGACATTGAACGGAGTATTTACCCATATACGGACGTAAGAATATCCTAAAATATTCACACTAAGTTTTATTTGACGTCCACTTCTTCGATATCCGATGTCCAAAGTTCTTGTTGATTATTGCATTTTACTATTTATTTATGTTGATTATTTATTTAGTTCTCAAGGCATATTTTGGTATTTTTGTCGGTTTATACTGTACTCAGTGCTAGTAGATAATTTTACTTTCCAATTTCTTTTCGTGTCCTTAGATTTAGCTACATATAATAATACGGACATCCGAATATCCTAAAACATTCATACTGAATGATATTTGACGTCCATATTTTTGAATTTTCTTATATTTCTATATGTGGACGTCAGATTATCGGTAAAGTTTAATATCGCACGATATTTGACGTCCATATAACTATGAATATATTTATATTTTAATTCCTTGTGTATAAGACACACATTAATGATCATTGCTTTAATGACATTTTCGCTATTGTTTTATTCCTAATTTAGTGTAGGGAGGCCATGTGGTGTAAAATAGTCACTTTGGTGTTTTATAAAATGTTTCGTTCTAGAAATGATAAAACGCTTAGAAGCTTAGAAATCGTGTGTGAAAAATTAAATTGTATTTCAACTAAGTGCAAAACCATAATTTAACAAAAATAGCCTTTCACAAAAATGAATCTAGTTATGTAGAGAGTAATTTCGTACAGATTAGGTACAATAGTCGCACTCATCCTTACGATGCAGTGAGAGCACCAAAACTACACGATCAAGTAGGTAAATAAATTATATTTTCGGAGTTACGTCAGCAACAATATGCCACGGTCTATTGTATAAATTAACAACTTATTGGCAGTTAATGCAGTAAAACCTTATATTAAAGTGAGTTGCTTCACCAGACCATATTAAGTTATTAGTCAGAGGTTATTAGTCACAATATAATAAAACAAACTTCTATCAAACCTGTCAATATCTACAATTGAGTCCATCTTCCTGTACTCAATCAGAAGGTAACTTATACTCAAACAGAATTATTGGTTGCTTACGAAATACCTAACAAGAGTTCTTTTAGGCAGATTAGTACCAAATGTAAAATGTTAAAATATAGTGCAGCATGAAATAAACCGATAAGCCGACGTCCGCATCTTCATTTATAAAAATATAAGTAAATTCAAAAATACGGGTGTCAAATATCATTCAGTATGAAAGTTTTAGGATATTCGGACGTCCATATTATGTGTAGGTAAGAAAGTAGGTTAAGAAAAAAAGTTTAAAAGTAAAATTACTAGTACCAAGCGCAGTATGAACCGAACTACGGTCACGGCGGCCTGCATCAACGGAGACTAACCATCGGCGCAAGAGATTATAGTGCACTCTCTATTCCCTCATTCTCATAATCCGATGGGACGGTAAACCGACACGACCGGAGGGAGATCAGGCGCAGGACCAACGGTTTTACGTGCTTTCTGAGGCACGGGGGTGATACACCGCCAACTTCCTGACTCCGGGCTGCTATTGAGATTAACTTGACAGAAAAACTCAATAATTGATTTTTTGGCCCGACCCGGCATTTGAACCCAGGACCTCACGATCAGCAGTCGCACTACTACACCCACTAGACCAACGAGGCAGTCATAACCATATATCACCAAATACAAGTAACACGTTGGCAACGGTGACGGAACGGCAACGTCGCATCTCCTAATTTTGTGCGGAAGTCAAATACGGCCATAAATGAAAGTATTCACAAATCGACAGCAGCGCTATAATTTTTGCAACGAAAATTAGCGGAACTACGTAAATATTCAGTACAGTAATATTTTAAGAAAAATGACGTCCAAGTTTTTTTTTTTTAGATTTTGACATTTCTGTGATCAGTATGACAATTTGCGATCATTGCGCTAAGTCTCCTATTTGACGTCCGTATATTGGACGTCGTAAGCAGGTTGACGCCACATTATATTCAAAATTGGCCATAGCGGACGTACAATAAGTTACGGGATGTATATATATAATTTATTTATATTATATTTGAGACTCTTCTTACTTAAATAACAAAGTAATATCCTAAAACATCTCGCTGAACTAATACCAGAGGAAATAAAGAATCATTTTTAGGTGTCAGTTGGGTAGTTTATTCCTCCCATTAAATAGTGGAGCTTGCTCTGCATACACTATTATGCAGCACAAGTTTATGTGTTCCGGTCTGAAGGGTATGAGAAGGGAGAAGCAGTACAATTACAGGCTGTGAGGCATTGCATCCTAGAGGAGAGAATGCAACTGTATGTGTCAATATTTTAGTTTCTAATAAGCTCGGTTCTTTTTTTGAATGTCACTGCAGCCATTTACCATCAGAGGGACTGTAGGTTTGTTTATCATTTCAATTATACAAAAAACGAATAACTCTAGAGGTGGGAGGTGTAAGGTTCTGTTTTGTGCTTAGGAATCTGTGATTGCTTGTCTCTAAAAGATTATACTCCAGTGAAAGTTGGTCAAATAAGGCAGGAGTAAGAAGTAATAAGAAAAATCTGTTTTAGGTGTTGGAGCTAAAGCCTGATTTTACATCAGCTCAGTTGCACCGAGCCAATGTTTATGTCAAGTTGGCGAAATACCAGGAGGCAAAGGAGGATTACCTGCAAGTTGTAAGTACTTTATAACTACAAAAATTGTTTAAACAAAAAATATACATTCAAATTCAGAAAATTATTCTGTTTGAAATTGGTTAAAAATGTTCACAGTTAAATATAGGCATCCCCATAAATTGCCTCATAATGGGAAATTTTCCATAGTTACAATGTAGTTTTTATTGTGACTTGTTTTCTCTGTATATCTTTATTTATCATTTTTTTTTATTTAACTCTGTCACCTCTTACGACCCTTACGGGATGGTATGTAGCAATTGATTCTTTTATGCAGCTACTACATAGAATAAAAATAATAATAACGTAAACAATACCCAAAAATAGAAAGTCCTTAGTCTACTTTTTTAAATCACATTGGCAAAAGTTTGACCTAGATGACACATTGATTACGAAAAGTTTCAGATGGTTAAAATTTAACAAAAAATATGCCACATATTCTGTTTGCGTTAAAAGTTTGACATGTAGAAGAACTGTTCGAATCGTCGGCGACCTAAGAGTTGTTGCGTCTCTGCGTATTTTATCTTATCTACAACCTGGAGTGCTCTGAGGAATTGTTTAGACTAATTCCAGTCGCACAATTTCACCATCGCACATCGCAACAGAACTCGTGATACCATCTGGATGACTGGCGGACCACCACTGTGCGATTTAAAAGAATTTTTCTTCTTCTCACAACTTTCTTGTGGAATCGACTATCACCAGAGATTTTTTCGAACCGATTTGACTTAGGGACCTTCAAGAAAAGAGCCTACTCCTTTTTAAAAGTTCGTCTGGTGTTGCAGTTGTTCACGGGTGCGGTAATCACTTACCATCAGGTGAGCCGAGTTTGCTTTGCGAACAAAGTGTGCTTGTTTGCCCCTCTCCTATAAAACAAATTTAGTAGTGTATATTGTGATTCTATAGAGTTTTAAACTTACCTCAGTGTGTTGATTTAATTTCCATCGTACTTCAAAATGAGAATTAGCCTATATGAAGCTGATGCTGTTGCTGTTATTTATGGAATAAGTTGGTAAACCTCCTAGCACTCTTTTTCTTTCATACAATATTAATGGTCAGCCTTTCAAAGTCCACTGCTGGCAATAGGCCTCCCCATACACTGACTCCTAGGGGGGATATTTGCCATAGTTGGTTGGTTTGGCGGGCGGGTTGGCGGCCGAAGATTTTTTCCAGTTGTTATTAGGAAGGCGATTCTGACCATCTCCTGGTTTGTTTCGCTACGTCACCTACAGCCACGGGACGATATAGGGTAGTGGATATTCTCACAACTCCATTATATGGCTAATATTTTTTTAAAGGATACTAGTAACGCTTTTAACATTACTAATACTCCCAGTAACTACTCCTTATAAGCTTAAATACTTATATTAAGAATGACGATAGCAGTCGAATAGCGAACCCACAAACTTCCGAGTTTTGCCGTCCGAACCCTACCATTCGACTACTATCGTCACTCTTAATACGAGTTGTGTATTAAGTTGTCAGAGCTACTGTCACTTTCGATTTTAATGATAATATATTTATATTCTCAAGATTCACTGCCTCGGATATGAATCCCGGGTCAGGCTAAAAAAAAAAACATTTCTTGAGTTTTGCCGTCAAAAAATTCTTGGTAGCTACTCAGAGTCAGGAAGTTGGCGGTGTCTCACCCCCGTGCCTCAGAAAATACGTAAAGCCGTTGGTCCTGCGCCTGATCTCTCTCCGGTCGTGTCGGCTTACCTTTTCATTGGATTATGAGATTGAGGTAATAGAGAGTGCACCTGTGCTTGCGCATACACTTGGGCACTATAATCCTGTCCTGCACAAATGCCTAGCCTCCGTTGAGGCTGTTAGCCGTAACCGAAATTTGGTCTGGAGGAAATTATGATTATTCTCAAAATACAACTTGTCCACAGACATACAGTGATCCGTACAATGAGGAAGCGGTGGCCCAATATCACCGAATTGACGAGTATGCAGACGACTTACGGCTGGCCGAAGCTTATTACCGTGGTGGGGAATTCCGGGCGGCGGTGGAACTGGCGACGCGTTTGCTAGAAATTTCGCCCTGGTCTGCACACCTGAGGCAATTGCGGGCCGAGTGTTATATTGCACTGGTAAGCCGTAACAATACTTACAATTCGAAGATTACTATGCTACTAAACAGGTTCTGCGGGCTTAATACGCAGTTTAATACAAGTTACGCTCAATTCTCCCTAACTATTTTAGTCGACTGCAAGCGGGCAAGATGACTAGTGTTATATTACATAGGTAAGTTGCCATAAAAGTTTCTTACAATTCGAAGACTTCTATATATACTGTTGAATAAGGTAGTGCCATACTACAGCTATATTATGGATTTAGCATGAATGGGTCATCTTGGCCGGGGAAGGACCACACACTTACAGACCACCAATGTAAAATATCTGCTCAATGCTATTTCATATGGCGTGGGTAGAGAACAAAGACCCTTTTGAATGGATACGAGGCATCCATCTTAGTCCTCAGGGGTAACAACACATCTGCATATTGATTCTTAATCGATGACAAATGTATATATCTATGGGCCACAGCATACAATTACCATCAGGTGGACTGTGTGATCCCTTGTCTCGCTTATTCTATTTAAAAATAAAACATGTGTGCAGTTCATGTGCAGTAGAAGTGAAACCTTCAAATGAAATTAAATGTAAAATAAGAATATTTCACGGCAAATTATTAATATGTCTATTTTCAACCACAAGTGCAGCATAAAATATAAGATAAAAGTTTAATTTTATAGCAAGTAAATGTTACAAATCCATATATTTAGTCATGTAGAGCCTAACTTTTGGTGTAATAAATCAAAACAATATTTTCTTTCGAGTAATATTGCTTTATAATAGCGCCATCAACTTCATTCTATAGGTATAGTCGTTAACATAAAGTGGACACTAGATGACCTAAACACGACTATTTTAATGTATGTATAATGCATATTCTATCTCATTTTCTCACAGGCTAAATCCTATAGATGTATATATCTGTCTCTTTTTAGTGTAGGTTTTTCAATCATTTCTTTCAATTTAAAAATGCTTTCATATTTTTATTATTAGTTGATTTATCCAGTCTAACATTTACATGTACTGTCTAAAATTTATCTGGCAACAATTCCATTTTAAAAAACGCTAACCAAAGAAATACTTTTACAGAACGACCTATTCTCGGCTGTTTCGGACATCCGGTCCGTGAACAGGTTGCAACAAGACTCGACCGACGGTTACTACCGGCTCGCCACCTTGCTTTACCAACTGGGACATGTCAGCGACTCACTGAAGGTATGGCATTTGCTAGTTTGTTGCTGAAGAATATTTCATCTGACAAAGATCTCTCCTAATGTAGGGAGAAATTAATCGTCAATCTTGACCAAGGTTGACAAGGTTCACACTTTTGACGCTGAATTGTGTATTTTATGCATGGCGTAAAGAAGACGGTGATGCCGCCGTCCACCATAATCTACAAGATCTTTCACGCAAATCATATTGTTTCAGTTGCTTTGCGGCAAAGCAAATTTCGCAAGTATTTAATTATAAGACTTGTTTAATCTATCCTTATAATTGTTTAATATACAAATATATACTTATGAATAATTGAAGTTTCTATCTGTTATATCGAAATAACTGTCGTATATTGAGGTGGGGTGGGAGGGGAGGGGGAAGGGAATATGCATGTCAAATGTAAATATGTTAAGACATGCATAACTATTTTTTTAAATTTAGTGTTCGTCCTGGCTATACTTCAGAATGGCTAAACCGAATGTCATGAAACTGTATAAACAGATAGAGAACAGTGCCAGGAAGGATCTAGATTCTAGACTATATTTTATCTCACAAATTTTTAGATTTTTGGAAAAACTAAAATTTTATAAAATAAATGTTCTTTCATTATCATCAATCTAAATAACGCCACATTATAGATTCTAACCAGGCGAAACTAGGGCAGATCGCTAGTTTTAAAATATCTGCTCGTATTCCAAAAGGAAAACAATCAATAAAACTGTATGAGAATAGAAATATAAGGTAAAATGTCTATTCTAGGAAATCCGTGAATGTCTAAAGTTGGATCCGGAGCACAAGAAGTGTTTCCCGTTCTACAAGAAAGTGAAGAAAGTGGACAAGCTGTTACTGGACTGCGAACAGTACAGCGAGTCGCGGGAGTACGGCCGATGTATCGAAAGTGCCAATAAACTCCTCACAGTGGAAGATGAGGTCACACTGGTTGTGTTCGAGGCCAAGCGATGGCTTTGCAGTTGCTACGCTAAGGTTAGTTTTGTTAATGGAATAGAATAGAATCATTTTTATTCAAAGTAGACTACAACTTTAAATAATATACTTTTTGAAAGTCATTTGAGCTTAACCACTGGTTCGGAAAAAACCTCTGTCCTGGGAAGAACCATCTAGAAACCCAGTGGAACTATTAAAAAAAAATAATATTTACAATACAATATACATGCTGCAGATATATTAGTATTAGTATAATTGTAGCACAAATCGGTCGGCTCGACCGGGGAAGGACCACGCTCTCACAGAATACCAGTGTAAAATAGCAGCCTTACGGTGCTGTTTCGTATGGTGAGTGTAGAAAACCGGAGAATGTTGGTACTAGAATCGAGGCATTCCATCTTAGTCTTCACAAGTGACAAAGCATCTGCATTTTCATTCTTAATCGAGGATAGAGCCCATGGGCTGCTGTAACCCCTTACCATCAGGTGGACTGTGTGCTCGTTTGTCACCCTTATTTTATAAAAAAAATCTATGGGATAGATTTTTTTATTTATAATGATGATGGACATGTGAAGACATTATCAATGTCATTTGGTTAATTGAAAAACATAATATTGATTTTATGAATCGATATATATGTCAATATATCGTATTATATATATATATATATATATATATATATATATATATATATATATATGTTGTATGTGGTCCTCCAGACTGAATGTCCACCAGACCGAATTTCGGTCATAGCGGCCTGCCTCAACGGAGGCGAGCCATCGGCGCAGGACAGGATTATAGTGCCCAAGTGTATGCGCAAGCACAGGTGCACTCTCTATTACCTTATTCTCGTAATCCGATGGGACGGTAAACCGACACGACCGGAGAGAGATCAGGCGCAGGTCCAACGGCTTTACGTGCTTTCCGAGGCAGGCACGGGTGTGAGACACCGCCAACATCCTGACTCCGAGCAGCTATTGAGAATTTCTTGACAGAAAAACTCAATAATGATTTTTGGCCCAATGAGACCTCATGATCAGCAGTCGCACTCCTACAACCGCTAGAGCAACGAGCCAGTCAGTAGTAGTTAGCAGTATAATAGTTGTAGCATAGATGGGTTGGCAAGACCTAGGGTAATATCATGCTCTCACAGAATAGTGTGAAATAGCAGCTAAATATTGTTGTATGGTGAGTAAAGAAAACTGGAGACCTCTTTTACTGGAAATGATACATTAGATCTCATGGGTGACAATGCATCTACGTTTGATTGTTGAAGATGGCTAACCCAAATGATTTCAAAAGGAAGGATAGGCCCTTCTAAATATTTTACTCATAACTTTTTCATACAAGAAAAAGTAGCGCATCCGTCATAATACATACGTCATATCAAAACATGACATAACCAGGGTCGGATTTCGTAGTATAATTATCCTAATAGTATCATTATGTCATGTTTGTAATATATAGCATTGTAATAATACAAGGCGAAAATACCATAATTTTACCTAAAGGTTGACTTGAATTATTATTGGGTCCTTTTAAATTTTAATATTAACCCTACGATATCGAGAATTTTTGTATTAAACATGAGCACCGCGTTTTTTAATAAAATTAAAATTAGCTCCTTTCTGGTCAATCGATGCTCGATTAATGCATTTATGTTGCATCTTTGATACAGGTTTAATGAGGGGCTACCAAGATAAAAACTCTATGCTCCAGAAGCAATCGGTTTGAAAACAGAATTTCAAAATATTTTATGAATCCGATTTTCAGATTTAATTAAGAAGAAAGATATAGCTTCTTTTGTACTCTTTTCGTTTTACCCTAATTGAATATAAAATATATTAGGTACCAATTTTAACTTACACTAAGTTCTATAGACAAAAATTAAACAGAAATAAAAATAAAACCGTCAAAAAATGAAACGTATAGATAAATTAGACACGTGACGTCAAAATCCTAGCACATGGGAAAAAAGAAACATGAAACGTCAAACGTGATATAATTTTTTTAAAATAGTATAATTTTAATTTCCATATACAATATTTTGAGGGTCTGAATTCAACCCTGGCCGAATCTTGGTAACGTGACTAAACTAACTGTAAAATAAAACTTTAAAAATGCGTTTATATAATAATTTAAATGTAACAAAATGAATATAAGGTTATTTACCGATGATACGATATCTCATGTATTTTTTTAAATCTTTGTATCGTAATTTTTGCATTCTTTTACCACGCAACTGCAAATATTTATGATAGGAAAATCTGTCCTGCGCGCGCACTACTGTCGACCGATTCGCATTGGCCCTAAACTGTAATTTTATGGCCAGCGCACTGGTCCGTTTTAGTTGTTCGGTCGGCCAGGTCCTTACGCTAGTAATATATAAGTCAATGGGCGAACCTCGCTAAGTGTTATGGTGGTGTGGTGTTCGGTATGGTGACGTGGTGACGTGTGTGGTGCAGGACGAGATGTACACGGAGGCTGTAGCGGCGTGTGGAGCGGCGCTCGCGCTGCAGAAGGACGCGCGGCTGCTGTGCGACCGCGGGGACGCGCTGCTCGGCCTCGAGATGTACGATGACGGTGAGCGTGCAACACAAACACTGTGCACTGTGCAACTCAACAGGGAATCTTCACATATTAAACTAAATTAAACATTTTATTTTTATTGAGAAACATGTAATTCTGAACTTAGGTACTAGGTAATGACAAATCAATATCATAAAAATATTGTATCAATAATTACAACCATACGTTGACGCGAGTTTTAAATTAAATGTTAAATATGCTGTAAAGAATAATTAAGATCGAAGAAAGACTGTGAATTTGTTAAGCCCTGAGCTAACACTACTTGAGCCCTCTAAAATCTCCCAATAGCCCTTCAAATTAATCAAGTCAAAACACAATTTTCCATAATGACGTATATAGTCAGGAAAAAAGTTATATAAGTTATACTATATAACTTAATATAGATACACAAACAGCAACTATAAGACATTATTATATAACAAATTATATATATATATATATATATATATATATATATATATATATATATATATATATATATATATATATATATATAAGTTATGTCAAATAAATTATAAAAACTTTTTTCTAGATTTTTGCACTGGAGATTTCTTTTTTTCCTCATCAATTTATAGATACTTCTAAATATTGTTATATATATCCATTTGTATTCCTTCTGAATGACAGAGTGAGAAATTGCGTGATAAAAGAAGAGTGTGGTTTGCAAAATGATGTGACCAGGATTAAGAAAGGAATGCTTCGGTGGTTTGGTCATGAGGAAAGAATGACAAAGAAAATTTATGTTGCAGAAGTGAATTACAGAGTCGGAAAGGGACGTCCTAAGCGTAAATTTATCGACCAAATTGGCGATTTATTGAAAACGGACCAAATTAGGAGCACCCTTAACCGACGAGCATATATGTGTATAGGTATATGGATGTGGAGGAGGCGAGAGAGGTATGTCAGGATCGTGCCAAATGAAAGTCTGTAGTCTCTGCCTACCCCTCTGGGTGACAGGCGTAAACACTTAAGCATATTTATATTTTTATATATTCCTTCTGTATATATCCACTGATAAATTATTTCTGTGACCTGATGTTAAAAGGGCCTAAGTACGTTTTTATTAAACGGAATGGAAGTACACATTACGATGGCCTCTTTTATATAGTATTTTTTAAAGACTATCAATAAACGTACGCCTTTTTAGCACATACAAATTTCATAATTTTCAATAATAGGGCTTTAAAATATCATTTCTTAAAAAAACGTACTTTGACCCTTTTGGCACCAGGTCCCAGATTTAATCAATTGTTCAACATCATTCACCTGTATTTCTCTTCTATATACGACACTCTGGATAAGAAGCGCCCTAATTCTACAGCTAGTGCTTAACAACATTAGATTCTTATAGATTATATGAATCTTTTCACTAATTAGCATAACCATTTTACTGCAAGAGGCGTAAGACTAGTTTAGACTTTAGTAAGACTTCAAACAAATTCACTCATTGAATAAAACTAAATTCACTCATTAAATTCACTCATTCTCTAAATGCTCCTCACGTCACATACTGAATCTAAAATCGCATTTCCAAGCCATCGCCTTACCTTTAAAATTTTAAATGACGTTTTTTTAAGCTTGAAATAAATTCTGTTTGTTATTACTATGGTCAAAATGTCACACGAAGTAATTTGGCTTAAAAACTAAGGATGTTTTTTTTACGAAAAAATAAAATATAAAGCAAAAAAGAGCCGTGGTAGCTCAGATGGTTAGCGCGTGTAGTAAATTTCAGCATTTCGCGAGCAAACTAGGTTTGATCCCTGTTGGCACCAATGAAATTGTTAATTGTAATTTTAAGTGCTGATTTACCACGTGCTCGGCGGTGAAGGAAAACACCGTGAGAAAACCTGCACGTCTATTAAAATAAGAAGAAAAAATATTAACCCTCTTAGAAATGAGCGAAGGCCTGTGCCCAGCAATGGGATGTATATAGGCTGTTACGTTATGGAGCAAATACGAAAAATCAGTATAACTCTGGAATCGCACAATTGCGCATTATATCCTTACAGGTGATTATAGTACTAATTATTTATGATTTTTTTACATATTTCATATTACGGAAAATAATGCATTTCTTTCTCAAAAATCGTTAAAAAAAAGTTGTTTTCTTATTTTTTAAACTTGATTAAATGCAGAAAGATAAGGGTTCTTTTTTGCTTAAAAATAATTAGAAGAAAGGTTTATTAAACATCAAACCACCCTGCATCCACGGTAATAAAAGCTACCACGGCTATTGGCATTTTGATCATTAATCGAGGATAAATGTAGAAGTCTATGGGCTCGAGTATCCTCTTACCATCAGGTAGACTGTGTGCTCGTTTGTCACCTTTCTTCTATAAAAAATAAGTTCAAATAAATGAATATATTTGTATTTCAGCCATTCTCTCATATAAACAAGCGCTGGAGTTAGAGGAGGGCCTGCAGCGGGCAAAGGACGGTCTCAGCAGAGCACAGAAGCTGCAGAAACAGTCCGAGCAGCGAGACTACTATAAGATATTAGGAGTTAAGAGGTAAGTTTCATAAAACGCGGGCTTAATACTATGTTAATTACTTCTCGACGTGAATACATCTTTAAATTTGCTTCGGCAATTCGGGACACGAGTGATAACAAAATCGGGGGATACAGTTTAGTGTTGCATCTATATCTATTGTCTACATATAAAATTTAGTTTAGGTGTAAACTCCATGTAACGTCACTCGATTTAACGACAAACTCCCTAAAGCATCGAAATCACTCGGCATTGGTTGGTTTAGTTTTTCTTTCATATAATGCAACTCTCCATATAGCATTACGTCGTCTCTCAGTAACGACAACAATTACATAATTAAAAGTAATTTATAAGTTGCAAAAATCAGTAGAAACTGCAGAGCTGTGTACGTTGTAGCTTTATTATCATAGCCCGTAATGAACTCGAATGTCGTCATCATACATACTAAACTCTATAAGATCCGTTGTATTGTTTACAAATTAAATTTGCTTGCATATGTAGACTGTTGTTAGTAGGAGTCGTGGATTATCTATACGTTATCATATTTTTAGTTGCTCACAGACTTTCAAACTGTAAACTGTAAATATCGCAAGTTATGAACAAAGTAAGTAAAAAAATACAACAAAACTACTGGTGCAGTAAAAGACGTCAGACGAAAGTAACACATTATACACAAGATGTATGCGTTCAAATAACAATTGTTTTTATGTAATTACTGACACTGGTTTGAAATAAACTTTTTCTTTTTCTAATACAGATTTTCTGTTTAACGACAAATCCATTCCATTGAATATCGTTATATAGAGTTTACATTATCATTTAATAGTTAAGGGATCAAAGAATTCGTTACGTTGAGTGAGGACTGACTCATCGCACGTAGAGAGGAGCGCCGCCATTTTGTCGGTCATCGTCATCGTGTTTGTTTTATTTCGTTACACTCTCCGATTTTTGAAGTGAAAACCTCTTAAGTACCCTTATGATTTGAAACCTTATGAAAGAAGCGACACTAAAAAGAGATAGACATATACATCTATAGGATTTAACCTGCGGGAGAACGAGATAGAATATATTGTTGTGCGCCATAATTAATTCCTGGTAGACTGAGGCAGACGACTTGAGTTTACTGCTTAAAAATCTGTAGGACTCAGTGGCGAAGCTAGAGCTCCAAGCTAGGGCAAGCCCAAGATAAAAATATAGATTGTTGTTTTTAGCAGTTTTATAAAAAGTACCCGGTTGACCGAGCTTTGCTCGGTATTTTTCGCTCGGTTTTTTTTAATTCGTGTGTTTTGGAAATTATATTTAGATACAAATTACATATTGATGAAATACGAATAATATTTTTTGATCTTAGCGACATAATAGAAAAAACTGAACTGGTTATTTGAATAAAAAATCATGAGTGCAATTAGTTTAATTTAAATTTTCGTGTTTTTAAAAAAAATTAAAAAAGGGCACGAAAACATAGATTTTCTTAAAAAAGAAAGGAACTTGAAAAAAAAATTAAAAAAAGTCAGTCGGTCGGTCTGGGCTCGAACCATGGTATTACGATTTTGTGACCGTCCAATATAGCTGTCAAAATTTACCTTCTTATTCTAATGATATTGTAGCAGTTTTTCATTGCCTAAAAACACGAACAAAAAGACATTTTCTAAAAATAAATCGATCTATCTAGGATTTATTTTTTAAATCCTAGCTAGATCGATTTATTTCTCCCGAAACTCCCTGCACACAAAATTTTATGAAAATTGTTGGAGCCGTTTCCGAGATTCCGAATATATATATATACAAGAATTGCTCGTTTAAAGGTATAAGATACACCAATCTTGATCTGTCTCCACGCTTCAGTTTCATATTCAGTGCTGTCAAGGACGTGTTTAACAAAGCACACAGAAGGCATACCACTGCTAGATAGATTGTATTACATATCAGCAATTGCATAGCTTCGGTGGCTTTGAAGAAAGCCGTTTGGGTTTGTTTAAGCGAAAGAAAAAAATATTTACATCCAATACAATACATGAACAAAAGTAAAACACGAACAAAGTACAAACAAACTATGTACAAAATTAAAAAAAAATTATTTACACATTCTAATGGATAACAGATAAGTTAAGGTGGAATCGTCTCGCTTTCTTATGGAAAGATTTAATTACGTCCACGTAAAATGTTGGTGAACGTTTTAATTTTACCAATAACTGTTTTTAATTGCGATAATTGATAAGTCTGAAATACACTCTTAACCTTGTGTATTATTTCAACAAAGTTTAAAGATTTCCTCTCCGATTATCACTTTAACACACTTCAATTCATCACAAGGAACACTATTATCCTCCATTTTCATTAAAAATCTTTAAAAAAGCATACATTTTGAACTCGTAATAATAAATCGCTTAAGATAAGCACACAGAGTAAATAAACATTGAAACGTAAAATGAACTTGCAAACGTATTGCCCGCGCGCCTCCGTTTTTAACAAATTTATTCCCAAAAGCCTGGCATTAAATCTCTATACTAATTGCTATATATACAATCGTAGTTATATTTCATTATATAATATTTTGCCATAGGTTAGAAAGAGAGCGATCGTCTTCTCGAAAGCTCCGTAAAAAGCCCACGCGAGCGAGGGAGACAACTAATCGCTCTATTAAAACTCATTTTTTATGACAGCAGCAGTATCGCTAAGGCAATACGAGGTCATCGGTCTACATGTGTCGAACAGTGGAGTGCGCGGGAAATTTGAAATAGCTTGAAACATTTTACGAGTTATTTTATTAGTTGATATTATTGATTGATTCAGGTTTAATAAGGCAAGCCCGGCTTTTCGGCTTTAATGGAAGCTTCTCCACTGTGGCCACCGTGACTAAAATTTGGTCTGGAGGACATTGCTAACAGTTGGTTGGTTGTCCAGGTCGGCCAGCAAGCAGGAGATCACCAAGGCGTACCGCAAGGCCGCACAGAAGTGGCACCCGGACAACTACCACGGAGACGACAAGAAGATCGCCGAGAAGAAGTTCATCGACATCGCAGCTGCCAAGGAGGTGAGCCCGCCTTGCACGCACAGTTACTGTTACACCCTATTAGTCCACTACTGTTAGACCCTATAAGTCCACTGCTCACAGGCCTCCCCCATAAATGGCCTCATAGAGGATATATACAATATCATGCTTGGCAAGCGGGTTGGCTACCGCAATTCTTTGTTTCAGTTGTTATCAGTAGAATACTGCTGTTCTTCTTCTGATTTGTTTCCGAAAAGGCTTTAGTACCACCGACCACATACGTACCCTTCGGCAAATTGTGCAGAAGTCCGAAGAGTACAATCTGCCACTTTGCCTGGCGTATGTGGACTATGAGAAAGCCTTTGATTCCGTCGAAATTTGGGCGGTGCTACAGTCCCTTCAGCGGTGTCAAGTTGACTGTCGGTATATCGAAGTGCTGAAGTGTTTGTACAGTAGGGCTGCGATGGCTATCCGAGTACAGAACCAGAGTACGAAACTTATCCAACTGCAGAGAGGTGTAAGACAGGGTGACGTTATATCCCCAAAACTCTTCACCCCGCTGCATTGGAAGACGTTTTCAAGTACATCACTCACCTTCGATTTGCCGATGATATAGTCCTTATGCCAGAATCGCTGGAGGACCTAAGCACTATGCTCAATGACCTCAATAGTGCCTCCCAATGGATAGGTCTTAAGATGAACATGGACAAAACAAAGATCATGTTCAATGTCCATGTCACACCTATGCCGGTAGTTGTTGGGAGCACTATGCTCGAAGTTGTTGACGAGTACGTTTACCTGGGACAAATAGTCCGACTAGGTAAGTCCAACTTCGACCGAGAGGTCAAACGAAAAAAAAAACGGATTCAACTCGGCTGGGTAGTGTTCGGGAAATTACGACGCATCTTCTCGTCAGGTATACCTCAATCTCTGAAAACTAAGTTGTACAACCAGTGCGTGTTGCCAGTGATGACGACAGAACTGAGACGTGGTCCTTCACAGCTGGCCGTATGAGGACGCTCAAAGTCGCTCAGCGAGCTATGGAGAGGGCTATGGTCGGAGTTTCTCTCCGTGATAAACTTGGAAATGAGGATATCCGCAGTAGAACCAGAGTGACCGACATAGCCCAACGGATTAGTAAGCTGAAAGTGTCAATGGGCCGGCCATATGGCTCGAAGAACCGACGACCGTTGGGGAAAAAAGTTTTTCGAGTGGCAGCCTCGTACCGGTAGGCGTAGTGTAGGGCGACCTCCACTAGATGAAGTGTCGACCTGCTAAGACATGCAGGAAGTCGATGGATGCAGGTGGCTCAGGATCGTGGTTTGTGGCATACCTTGGGGGAGGCTTATGTTCAGCAGTCAAGTTGTGAAGGGCAGTAATGATGTTGATGATGATGATGAAATAGATAGTCAGACAGACAAAACTTTCAAAGTATATGAAGGTATATACGATACTGTAAAAAAGTAAATAAAAAGTATTTTTTTAACATTTCAAACAGACACTTCAATATTATTTATTTGTGTAGATATTAGATATCTGTGTTATATTAGCAGTTAAATTTCGATCACTGGTTACGGTCACTAGTTGAGTTGAGTTGATATGATCACTTCAATGAAGCATGTGTGGTAATGTGGTGTTCAGGTGCTGACGGACCCCGAGAAGCGCGCTCAGTTCGACGCGGGCAACGACCCGCTGGATCCCGAGGCACAACGCGGAGGACAACCCTTCCACAGCCCCTTCCACCACTTCCAGCACGGCAGTCCCTTCCAGTTCAAGTTCCACTTCAACTGAACCCTGTTGCACTCGACACACATACTGTACTATATTGTAAAAAGTAATCAAGTTCAAGTTATACCATAAATAATTTATACAGGTATTTCGTTCGATGAACGAAACATTTCTTGAATGTAAGAATCAGGCATAAGCAATACTAAATTTTCTTTGTATACATATTTTACTTGAAATCATCAACTAAATGATAATTCTTACAGATTGTACCTGTAATAATATTCCGTTATTCAAAGCTTGTATGTGTTATTGTATAAGATATCTACCTGACCATTGTGCCTCCATTTGCTTTAATAACTTACTTAAACTTGGATCATTCAATTACATATAAATTCCTCAAACTAGTAAATATTGTAGGTTTGAGAAACTTCGATATTTCAGAAGTAAATGTACGTATTTAAAAACTACCATCAGGAATTGAAAATGTTTTTTTTTTTGAAAATTTAAATGATAAATGATATTATGGTTCACCTGATGGTAAGTGGCTGATGCAGTTGCGTTGTCCTTTGAAGACTAAGATGAATATGCCTCACAACCTGTTATTATACTGTATCTTTTTACCCTTGAAACAGGAACATGGCACTGCTATTTTGCCGTGTTAATAGCCGGGGGGGGGGGGGGTACCTAGCCAGACAGACTACTAGGAGGCAGAAAAGGATTTCTGTCACTTGGTACAGTACTTATGGAAACATCTTGTCTATATGTATATTTGTCTTTCACAGAGGTTTTTCGCTAAGGCTGAGATCTATAGACCGTGTTTGATTTTGCTCAGATTTTACTTTCGAGCTAAGACAATGTCGGTATTTATGGAGCTAACTTCGAAGTCGTGCTGAGTGCGCGCTTAGCAAGGCCTGAGTCAACGAAATCGACGACTTATGAAAAAAATCAGAAAATTAACCAAAACCACCTTATTAATTTTAAATTTATGTTTTTTGTATATTTATGTTTGCTCTAATTATTTATAACAATAAATGGGTAGTTTTAGGCCGTCTTCTAGTTTTAAATAGCATTCATCCATTTTCTATGTACATAATTTGAAACTTATTTTGAAATTCTTAAAATCTTGTTTGTTTGTGAGTTTGCACTCTCTCATTCGTTCCCGTCTGCTGTCGTCGAATCAACAGAAAAAACAATTTCTAAACTGGACGTCTCTCTATTTTCTCTATTTTTAAAAATTAAATTTTTAAAATTAAAAAAAATTGTAAGCTTAGCGTAATCTTAGCCCGATACAACTATAAATTTAAAATCAAAGATTATGCTGAGCATATACTCAGTTAGGTTTTTCGTAAGTCTAAGCAAAGTCAAACTACTTATAGTCTATTGATCTCAGCCTAAAAATCTACTACGTAAATTTTTCAAATTAAACATAGTTATTTTGCCTTAAAACGCTAGTTTTGGAGATAAAAAGTTTAAATCCTTTTTGTATGTCAGTTACACATACAACATATTTCTGAATGAACGCTTTAGAATTGGTAATAAACCCTCATCCCATTCTCCAGAAGATTTTTGGAAGGAGTAAGAATTAAATCTTATTCGAACTTGTAGTCTCAATAATATAAGTACATATGGGGGGTAATACTGGAGGTACGGAGTATAAATTGAATTTTATGCACAATTAGCGGAACTATATTATTGATATACAGTTTAATTAAAGAAAATCTGATCAGATTCCCCATATTTTCTTCAAATACAAATTGACACAGGCATTCACTAATTGATCTGTGTAACATATCGCACCCGTTAATTTTTGGGGAACTCCGTACTAACCTATCAACTAAAATCCGCCCAATACAGCACAATAACTTATAAAGTATGGTGCACTTACTAAAATTACATTTGTTATTTATTACGATAACAAAAGTATAACAAAATATCTTTTATTACAAAGGAGTACACACTGAGGTTAGTTACGTTTTCAATTTAATTATTAATATATAAACAATTTATAAATGAATTATAAAATCGATTAATTTATTTACGAAATTACAAAGGATCATTTATAAATCGTTTGTCTGCTAATATTCGGAATGGCTGAATCGATAGTAATGAAACTGCGAACAGACAGCGAGCAATGTTTGGAGTGATCTAGACTATGTTTCATAAAAAAACAATTGGTTGACCCTGCAAGCCATCCCTGGAGCTTCCCGCTAATTTAAAATGCAAAGCGCTCCAAATTTCACCAATTTATGTTGCGAAATCTCGAAGTTATGTTAAAAAAAGTTTTTTCAAATTCTTTCTCCTTCGATATCTCATGAACGAATGAACCGATTTTTATTTTCCAAACTGCATTCAACGTTATTTTTTGAGGTTAAGAGCTGATTAGTTTTTGAAATCGATCGGTAAAGCCGTTTAGAAGTTATTCAAAAAAAAAGTTTTTCAAAATTTTTATTTTTGAGTTTTGTCAAAATCTACTCGTCCGAATCAATTCATATTATTACTAAATTTATTCCACATTGAGATCTTTAGAACACCGCAAACCACATCTCAATCGATTAGGACGTTCAAAAGATATGAAAGGTTTACATACTTACATACACACACATACATACATACATCCGTACGGACGTCCACGTGAAATTAGTCAGAATAGCTTCCTGGGATCTCAAAACGTCAAAACGAGATCTGATGAAAACTCGATCTTCGAAAATCGGGGTGAAACCGATAACTTCCCTATTTTTGACAATTTTCAATTTTCTTAGCGGGAAGTTAAAAAAATTAAAAATATTTTTTTTAAAATAAATTACACCTCATTAATGGACCATACCTAAGCGAATCCGGGTGATTCGGTAGTCAATAATAACTCGGTTTGTCGTGTCGCATGTCTGTACTCTATAGTTCTGCTGTGATACCTACTTCTATACCTTAATGAGTTATTGGTACCTATAAAGCTGACCCACTGCTGTACCTAGACCCAATGTTAGCCCAAAGGGGTTAATTTGCCATGGTTGTTACGTTTGGCATATGCACTTGTGCAACTACAAAAATTTATGTTATTAGTTATTATAGGCACATACACATATTTAAATTACGTACCTAATTATTAGGCAGACGCTGTTGAATGCAACTTTTCACTAGCGACATCTGCCGAGCGGATGTTATAAACCCTCATTATTAAATATCTTCATATAATACCAATGCATAATATTATATCATGTTTTTAAATTTTAATCATTTGCTGCAAATCGAAGGCATCGTTACTTTTTTAATTTATTTATATAGGAAAAATTTGCTGTGGAGCCTCGTTACTTTGGTCACCACAACAAGCGGTGTGTCCGGATGAGACAAAGTAAGAGAAAAATGCGAAATCAAACCTCCAATTTAATGTAATGATCTTTTATCGATACACACCATGTATTCAACAACATACTTGTCAACGTACACAAAATTATACATAACATCTAATTCTACATATTTAGAATGCCACTTATATTTTTCTGAAATGTTGACGCTTTATCCAGTTTAATACTGAAGACAATGAGTGTCCCATCCGGACCACCACCATCACCGGCATGCGTGGGCTCCGGATTACCGAGGCTTTCCTGTATTTATTTTTGTTATTGAATACTTTGTGGTCTCTTTTTTGTAATGTTATTTTGTAGAAGATATCATGCATCCCACTTGAAATGAAACCTTGTAACCTGTATTTTGTTGTGGTGTGAAATAATTTGATCTTATATTTTGGCTTTACCAAATTGTAACTAAATTATCAAAAAGAAGCGAAAATTAACAACTCTATTTTTGTTTGCAAATAATTTATTTATAAAATAATAATAGCAATAATATGTCGCAATTGTGGCGATCACAAACAGCTAGTCTCTGGAAATATACAAATTAATATTCGGGGTTGACGCCATTGCGTGTGACTTTATATATTTTGTAAATTTTTGCCAACTGGAGAATTTGGACGATGTAATTTTAATAAAAATATTTTAGGGAATTTTTCTACTAATTAAACAACTTTTTTGTTAAGAGTCCATGTTTGTTAAAAATCACCTCGTCCTAATTCTATATGAGCAACATTATTTTCCAAGTTCCTTGTAGTCGCAAGCATCGCCATGTCTAACAGACTGCTCTTAATGTAGGATAATTTGTGACATGTGCGATGCTTGCGATGATTTAGTTCCGATTTTATGTGAACGCGCACTACAAGCAATTATTATTCTCAACTCGTTATGGTACGGTCTATTTTGTTATGTACTGAAATTTGAGCTTAATGTGGACAATTTGCTATTTAATAAATATTTGTGAGCTAAATAGACTGTATTTCATTAACGTTAGGGGTGATAATTGTGTGTACATGTTACGCGCTCGCTTCCAAACGGGTGCTAGAACTACGCAAGTGTACGTAGAAATTTGTTCTTTTGTGGCGACTGTTTAGTTCTAGCAGTCCCGAACAATAAATATATTTTAAATAAGTTATTTGTTGTAATTCTTATCTTTGTAAATATTTTAGAATAATAAGCTAATATAAAACATGTTTTTTATTTCAATTTTAGACTTCAGTCTTATAAAGAATCCCCACTCCTAGTTACAATTTACGTAAATAAAAGGATATTTTACGGGTACTAAGACATTTTTTACTTTAAACAATTGAAATTACAATTATAGTTATAAGAAAGGGGGTATAATGATACAATCGGTAAGTGCAAAACTAAATTCATAACGCCTGCAGAAAACTACAGCAATGTATTGTATAAATAAAATTTTGCTAATATTTATCAGCAGGCGTTTGAACTAAACGAAGGGAATCACACGTCTTCTTCCCATAGTATCTTGGCCCTTCTCTTCTCTATGGATTTTAACTTCCTCGCGACCCTGTCTATTTCGTTGCTGATCTTCTCCTTGTCGTCTTCCTTCTGGCACACGTACCGGTGTTTCAGCGCACAATCTCTGCCGCGGTACACGTAGGAGTTGATCGCCGCGTCGTGGACCAGCGCGAGGCAGCGTCCCTCGCCCGCGATGCTGCTACTGCTGTTGGTGGCGTTCTTGTTGCTCTCCACTGGTCGTCCGGAGTGCGACCAGATCCACAACAGGCCCGGGTTCAACCCGCCGGTCCAGAAGTCGTTACCTATAATGATGGGGTTAATAAACTTGTACCTCTTTGATTTAGAGCATGGAGGTTAGAGAACAAGAGAATGATCGGTACGTGCTAAAGCATAGCCTGTCTGTCCCTGAAAATTTGTAGAATTTATAGCAATATTTTTAATTTTTAACAAAAAGAAACATTAAAAAATTGTGATATATTATAAAAACTAATAATAATAATAATAAATCAATAATAATTATTAATATATATTTGCCTCACTTATTTTGTCCATATTTCTGAGACACTATTTTACGGTGATCGTTCTCCTGTTCTCTAACCTCCATGATTTAGAGGTTGCCAACGCGGTTGCTGGCCATGCAGTTCGATTTCCGGGTCGGGCCAAAATAGTTTATTGGGTTTTTCTGTCAAGTATTTCTAAGTAGCAGGCCGGAGTTAAGAAGTAGGCGGTGTTACATATCCAAGCCTCGGAAAGCACATAAAGTCCTTGGTTCTGGGCCTGATCTCTCTCCGGCCGTGTTGATTTGCTGTCTCGTTGAACTATGAATGTCAGAGAATAGGGAGTGCACTTACACTCTGGCTCTATAGTTATTTCCTGCGCAGATGGCTGACTGGTCGCCGTGGCCGACTTTCAATCTGGACGACATTATTATAAACTAGGTGAAACTCTGTACTTTATAAAATATAAATTTAAATAAAGTGCAGAATATTTTTAAAGTTGTTATTAGAAAGACGCAGTCGGTCGTCTGCTGGTTTATTCCCCTGTGTCGGTTCCTACATCGTTACTGTTGCGACATCCACAGGACTTGTATGATATGGGGTGTGGGTCTTATACTGTCACTATACGGTTACTTGCTTGTTTTAAAATTCTAATGTTTGATATAAACTTATATACTAAGAATGGAGAGAGGTTTTGATGTCAATAATAGGTATGGTTATCTTGTCTTCAATGGAAGACTTGCCCGGAATTCAAATTTGGGTCCTAATAATTAGAACAGATTGTGAATCTTGCTTTTTAAAGCACTTTATACTACTACTATAAGGAATTTCTTTTTCAACCGACTTCAAATAAAGGAGGAGGTTCTCGATTCGACTGTTTTTTTTTTAAATTTAATTTGTTAAAGTTCAGAGGTCACAGCTTTTTTCTAGGTGAATCGATTTTCATGATTCTTTTTTATTTGGAAGTTGGTGGTCCTCATGTGGTCATATGAATTTATCAAGAATTGACAAGTAGTTTCTGTACTGTCCTTAGTACCTAATGCTTATTTAACTACATTGACGATGTTTTCATTTGATTTATATATTGAAGTCGGTTGTACAGTTGTAATTATTTAGTACTTGTTTTTACGTAGTAGAGCCATGCTGCAGCTATATTATGGCTGCAGCATGAATGAGTTGGCTCAACCGGGGTTGAGCCACACTTTCACAGAATATCAGCTTAATGCTGTTTTATTTCGTATTCGTTAACGTAACAGCAAACCGTAGACCCTTTTTACTGAAAAAGAGGCATTTAACCTTAGTTCTTGAGGGTGATAACGCATCTGCATTTTGATTCTTAATCGTAGATAGATGTAGATGTATATGGGTATATTATCTACTTACCATCAGGTGTCTTGTTTGTCACCTTTATTTGATTAAAAAAAAGTTGGAGCTGGGGTCTGTACACATCAGCTCGAATGGCGGTCGGATAAACGCTACTGTGATGTAACAATTGGTCATGAACTCATCATCGTCACCATTCCGTTTCTATAGAACCCCGAGCCTGGTGAATCTGTTAAAGCAACAAGGTATTAGTGGTGTTCCAATGTGCACGCACCTCTGAGCTGGTTGTCTGCCAGCACGTGTGAGACGAGGCGGCGCCGCTGTGCCGGCTCCGGCAGCTCCAGTAGCGCGGCGTGCAGGCGGCGGCAGGCGCGCGCGGCCGCCTGCCAGTCCAGCGCCTCCGCGGACCAGTGCAGGCAGGCGCCGCCCGCCCGCGTGAAGTTCGCCGCACACGCCTCTGTAACATTAACAACATTGTAGCCACCTCTACGCAACATAGCCAACTCAACATACATTTATGTTCGTTTGGATGGAGCGTTGGTATGATTGTAGCACGAATGGGTCGCCTCCACCGGGTTGGGACCTCACCCTTAAAGAATACTTATAGTTTAAAATAGCAGCTTAATGCTGGTGTGTTTCGTTTGATCACAGTAGAGCACCAAAATCCCTCTTCACTGGAAACGATTTATTACGTCTTAGTCCTCAGGGGTGACAAAGCATGTATATTTTAATACTTGATTCTTAATCAAGGATAAATGTAGATGTCTATGAACATCCTACAGCTATAACTTACCATTAGATGAACTGTGTGTCCGTTTTTCACCTTATACTATATTGCAAAAGCCCAGTTAAAAAAGTATCTCTCGATCTCCTTAAATTCCGTGCACTACCCTCACCACCATTAATCCCAACACCACTAAACTAGAAAGACACACTGCCGTCAATAATACGTCACGTGTTTCGCCTCTACACGAGGCATCCTCAAATGAATTCTCGCAAATTAACACCCAATACGTCTAAGCGCGCGCAGTCAGCACTTCCACGACGATCTGTCGCTATAGCTATAATACAACAGGTAGCTATAGCACGACAGGTTACCAACCACAACGCATTCATTTACCTTTACTGTATTACTTACCTTTACTATCATTTCATTAAACATTCCATTAATATAGTAAACTATATTACTAATTATTTTAATATGTTAGATATCCTTGCGCAACTATTTTCGTTATTTACTATGTCACCAAATAATTTGTTGCATCCAACAAACGACGCGCTCTGTCTTCGCTGGGTAGGATACATAAATGAAGTGTAATTTAGATTAATTACTCATCAAAGCCATTTATTTTAGCACTGTCTCGTACACAACGCAAAGAAATTCCTAGGTAAGGAAATAACTGACTAGGCTCAATAAAAGTAAGTTATTTCGATATAACAGACAGACCACTCCAGTCTTATTTATAACATATTGTATAGATAACTCAGCTCATATATAACCCAGATATGCTTGTAGCTACAATCCCATCTGGTGGTAAGTCCAATAACTTCATACAAGCATAATATATCCCAGCGTCTATTATGACACACACGAAACGACACTAAATGGTTAGGTACTTTAAACTTTTTAAAATTACCTGGCTTGAGATCGGCGCCAGCCAGTACGTAGTGCAGGCTCTCCTCCATCCTACGCAGACGCTTCTCCATGAGGTCGACGCGGTAGACCAGCTTTTCGATGGCGCCCAACAAGTACAAGTCGGTCTCGGACACCTGCTTGCGTGGAGGTTCGTCCACGCGGTCAGCAGCCGGCCGAGGTGGACGTGGCCCGTGCCCAGGCATTGGTGGTGGCTATGGAAACATCACAAAAAATTCATACAAGCTACAATCCAGTTTTGCTTCTTTTAAATAATAATAATCTCCAGACCGAATTTTGGTCACGGCGGCGAGTCTCAATGGAGACTAACTATCGGCGCAGGACAGGATTATAGTGCCCGAGTGTATTCGCAAGCACCGGTGCACTCTATATTTCCTCACTCTCATAGTCTCTCACTTTCATAGTCCCTCACTCTCATAGTCCCTCACTCTCATAGTTCACTCACTCTCATAGTTCACTCACTCTCATAGTCCCTCACTCTCATAGTCCCTCACTCTTATAGTCACTCACTCTCATAGTTCACTCACTCTCATAGTTCACTCACTCTCATACCTATGTTCACTCACTCTCATAGTTCACTCATTCTCATAATTATTCACTCTCATAGTCCCTCACTCTCATAGTTCACTCACTCTCATAGTACACTCACTCTCATAGTTCACTCACTCTCGTAGTCCCTCACTCTCATAGTCCCTCATCTCAGTCCCTCATCCCATAGTCCCTCACTCTCATAGTCCCTCACTCTCATAGTCCCTCACTCTCAGTCCCTCACTCTCATAGTCCCTCACTCTCATAGTCCTCACTATATCTTCACTCACTCTCATAATTATTCACTCTCATAGTTCACTCACGCTCATAGTACACTCACTCTCGTAGTCCCTAACTCTCATAGTCCCTCACTCTCATAGTCCCTCACTCTCATATTCCCTCACTTACTTAGTTCACTCACTCTCATAGTTCACTCACTCTCATAATTATTCACTCTTATAGTCCCTCACTCTCATAGTTAACTCACTCATAGTTCACTCACTCTCATAGTTCACTCACTCTCATAATTATTCATTCTCATAGTCCCTCACTCTCATAGTCCCTCACTCTCATAGTTCACTCACTCTCATAATTATTCACTCTCATAGTCCCTCACTCTCATAGTTCACGCACTCTCATAGTTCACTCACTCTCATAGTTCACTCACTCTCATATTTCACTCACTCTCGTAGTCCCTCACTCTCATAGTCCCTCACTCTCGTAGTCCCTCACTCTCGTAGTCCCTCACTCTCATAGTCCCTCACTCTCATAGTCCCTCACTCTCATAGTCCCTCCCTCTCATTGTCCCTCACTCTCGTAGTCCCTCACTCTCATAGTCCCTCACTCTCATAGTTCATTCACTCTCATAGTCCCTTACTCTCATAGTCCGATGGAACGGTGATCCGACACGACCGGAGACGCAGGAGCAACGGCTTTACTTACTTCCCCAGGCACTGGGATGATACACCACCAACTTTTGACAGCTACTTAGAATTCCTTGACGGAAACCCCAATATCCGATTTTTTTGGTCAGATCTGGGATTCGAACCCGGGACCTCATGACCACCTGTCACGTTTACGACCACTAAGACCAACGAGGCAATCATAATATAACCACAGTGAGGGTCTACAACGCATAAATGAGTGTCGTAAAAATGCAATAAACTTACATAGCTGGGTTTGAACTGGGAATGAGGTCGGTTCACGATCTTGCTGCCAGGCGGCTCCCACTCGTTATAGTTGTGAGGCGGTGTACGTAGTGACCCAGAGGGCGGAAGGCCTGGGAACATGGCCGGCTCTGCGGTTTGCGGGCCGGAGGGGTTGGTCGGACCAGGGGTCATGGCCGATTCAGGGTGCAGTGGAGCATAAGGCGGAGGATGACCGTGGGGCGGAGCTCCTGGGGGCAACGGACGCCCTGGCGGGGGAGGAGGCGGCGGTGTTAGGGGTACGTCGATACGCTCCGTCACGTAGTAACCCTTTGTTGGTAACACCATGATACGACCTGAACATGTAAAGAAAAGAAAGAACGGGCAATAATAAATAGTACATTGTCAATATTTATATACATACTAGAAGCAAGAAGCCATAGTATCTCTTTGTTATTATTGTGCATCCTACCCGTTAAGTCTTTCTCTGATAGCTTTAATTAATATTGTTCATGGTTGTCTGGGAGAAATTGCAATACTATTGCCATAAGACCGCCTTTTGTTTATCCATCTATATTTGTTTATTTTTGTTACTATTATTCTTTTCTTGGTGTATATTAAAGAGTATTGTATTGTATTTCAAAAGAGCCTTAAATTAACTAAATTATAAGCTATGTGGCAAGCATCCCTCATGAATTTAAAAATACTTATATGTATTAAAATGGTTTAAGGTTCTTTTTTTCTAATTGATAACATCATTCAGTTCCTTAGACGCGGCGCCACAATCATCGCGAAATTGGACATTTGTATTTTTTATAGAAACAGAGTCTGTTTCTATAAAAGTTAAAACGTGGGAATAAAAACTACTGTTTGTAATAAGATTAAGATGGTACAAATCTTAATAAAGTTACAGCCTATATAGGTGTCCCACAGCTGGGCACAGGCCTCCTCTCATTTCTGGGAGGGTTTTAGGGCAAGGAAGTGGCAGCCGCGATACCCCAATGCGTGTTAGTGAACTTCATATGTCTTCGAAATTTATTTCCTTATTTCTCAGACATGCTGGTTTCCTCACGATGTTTTCCTTAACCGCAGAGCACGTGGTATCAGCACTTAAAATTGCGATTACCAGTTTTGCCGGCGGGGATCGAACCCGAGTTACATGACATTATAAATTATATTGAATAAATCGACACTTTTCGACTGTAATCAGCTATCATAATTTGGAAAAGTTTACATGCTATATCTCATGGCTTAGTAGGTCTTTGTGCAACCGTTTTTTTTTCTTTACTGTAATAACGTTAATACTTTCACCATATTTATGACAAATAAAGGAATTTGAATCTGAATTTAGTATCCATTACAGCCTATAAAAGTCCACTGCTGAACGAAGGGGTCCCATTTAGAATATCTTTACATATTTTTAGATCTTGCCATAGTTCCCACGCTCGGCAGGAAGATGCTGCCGCCTATCTCATGGTTCAGATTCTCTCTGTCGCCCCATAAGACACCCACCACGGGACGATATGGGCTAGTGGATATTTTTACACCGCCAGCGCCACTACTTGGTTACCAACACCGCTTTTACTCGGTTATGCCCGCCACATACTACATAGAACGAACGGGTCGGCCACACACTAGGCCTTAAGGCCAGTCACATACATACGGAATTCCGTTTCAGCAGCAGCAAGTCCATATAAAATCAAGGACCCGTCACACACGGTGGTTTTCCGTTCGAAATTTTGCGGGCAAAACGGGATTCCGTACGTGTGTGGCCGACCCCGTCATTCCGTTTCGGAATTTCGAAACGGAATTCCGTATGTAGTGTTCGGCGGGTCTAAAGGTGTAAGTATAAATATGTCGTCGACAGATGGTACGACTACGATTCGTCTTTATACAATCGGCGTCGTCTCTTTGCAAATCCTCGCTGGTTTGTGAAAGGCCGAAAGCAAATTGTAAAGTGCCTCGACATTTTTAATAGTCTATATCGTAGTCTGATCGTTAGAGTTGGGCTGATCGTAATCTGCCTGGGCATTATATGATACGTCGCCATTTCATGTTTAGCCGAATTTATAACTTCTGTTGATAAGTTTATTACAAATAGATAGGTACGAAAGCACCTATTTAGTAATATTAGTAGATTAAGGTGCTGCTGGAGTGGCCCTTGACCAAAGCCGCGTAATATATATATATACTTTTTATATATATATATATATATATATATATATATTGTGATAATATATATATATATATATATATATGTGTGTATGTGTGTGTGTGTGTGTGTGTACATTATCCGCCACTTGAATATTTCCCCACATGATGGTAAATCGTCGGCCAAATCATGAAATGGCGGCGTATCGTGGAATCGGACGATGACGTATCAATTTGCCTTCTGTGTTTCAATGGTGTGCAATGAGACGACGCCGTTTGTATTGTGACGAATCAAAGAATCTGCCGACAACTGATACAATATATCAATCTATGCTTTTAGGTACAGAGCAATCAGCCTTATAGCTTCTATGCCCCTCTAATAGTTCATTATTTTAAACAACTTCATACCCTGTCTGTCGGAATGCATGGGTGTTGTCACCGCCCACTCTTCGAGCAGCGCGCTCCAGGGGCCCGACTCCCACGGCTCCGACTGACAGGTGTCGTCGACCAACGTGGTGTTTTCTGAATTTACGAACTCTAAACTCAGCCATGTTAACAATATATACGCTAACAACGCCATCTGGAACAAGAAGATTTGTCTGTAAACAATTACTGTGTAAAAATTCTTTTTTACATTTTGACTACAATGCTCACGAAAAATGTTCTTCAGTGGCAGTCTCATGCCGGTAAACGAAGTGTAGGAAGGCCCCCAGCCCCCACTAGATGATGTGGTGAAACGATAAGACATGCAAGAAGTCGATGAATCCAAATGATTATTGTTTAAAGATTTTAATTAACCTCACTTGTGTGTATGTCCTGGAATTTTGCAATCAATATTTCACCCACTTCCACCGAAGACAAGTTTTCGAGTCAATGCACGATTACTTAAATGCCGCTATTTTTAATCCAATGTGGCGGACGTTACAAAATAGCGATCTAACATTTCCACAGCAACCCCTATGATATGGGTATTTAATGAAAGAGCTTAATAAACGAAACAATATGTAAAGTGAAATTATTAATCCTTTGGAGTAGGTACTCACTGTTCGTCAGCTATTTATTCTGAATACAGTGTTGAAACAACATTCTAGTTTATCTTATGATAAAGATTTCATGTTATTGAGACGAACATTCGTGTTTATCTTATGATAAAGGTTCCTTGTTATCGAAAGAAAAGATTGCAAAAATGCCTATTTCTAGCCATTCTTTCGTTAGTAAATATTTTATTATCTTGAACCATTTATTTACAACAAAATTAATAAAAGGACTGAATTATATTCTTTAAAAAATGCAAGATTTAATTATTTGAACTTCTTCATCAGTTAAACTTTGAAGAAACTGAAGTATTACTACGAGTTAATTAATATTACTTACACACCCTCACGTATTCAATATATTATACACAAAGAGATACATTTTACATTTTTCTTTTTATCAAAAAACACATTTTGCTATGATTAAGTTTCTCATTCTATTTGTTATATTCCTTCTATTTAAGTTATAGTACACAGTCCCCCTGATGGTAAGTGGATGCTGTGGCCCATAGACATCTGCATTTATTCTCGATTAAAAATCAAAACGCAGATGCGTTGTAACCCCCGAGGACTAAGATGGAATGCCTCGTTTCCAGGAATAAGGGTCGCCGGTTCTCTACACTCACCGTACGAAACACAGCAGTAGGTAAGTTTTATTAAGCTTTACGCTGGTATTCTGTAAGAGCATGGTCCTTCCCCGGTCAAGCCGACCAACTCGTATTACAACCATAATATAGCTGCAGCGTGGCTCTACCACGTATGAATATACTTATGTTAGTCTATTATAAGTAATAAGGAAGAGCACTGTGATCTGAAATACGGGTAGGTATATTTATCTAGTTCAGACACAGATGTTCCATCATTCTTTGTGAACTAAGTATAGATTATATAATAGTTATTTATAAATGTGGTAGTTATGCAAGTGGTGAAAATAAAGTTTAATATTATTGCATGCATAATTTCCATAGTAACCCCTATAATATGGGTATCAAATGAAATGGATTGAGGAATGAAACATATTTAAGTAAAGTGACGTCATTCTAAATCCAAATTCGCGGAAGTCTAACATATTAGATGTCACAATATTACGATAATTATAGATGATGATGGAGTTGGATTGTAACCATGGCTAAAAGGGTGGAAAACAAAATAGCTGCCATACCATTTCTAAGAGTTACAACTCGGCAAAGATTAGGGATAGTTTGCTGGTACTTGATCAAATGTTGTAGGGTAACAATGGTCAACTGTTCGCAATAAAAAAATTAAGATAGTGGACCTAAGTTGGCGATCAAGAACTTCGTTACTCCAATACGCCTGTAATTTTGTTATCCAGGGGTTTTTGGAGTCCCCGATTACGATTTTGCGGTCGAATGGTTCTGATCAAATTTTGCAACTGAATTTTAAAAGTACGTCCATCTAAGTAACGTCATTATAAATCAAATATGGCGGACCGACCAAGATGGCGGACTTATTTATTTTTATATACTCCCATAATAATATTATATGAAAGGGTTTGCTACAAAAAATACGAAAAAACGTCACTCTACATCCAATATGGTGGACAGTGGACACTCAAAGATGGAGGACTGCGTTTTTATTTACCCCCATGATATGGATATCAAATGAATATATGGATTCGAACAACGACGAGATTAAACCCTTTGTTTTGTTCGCTCAAAATAATACAAATAAAAAAACTTTTGGTAAAGCCAAATGTGTATGCCTTAAGCGCTCACGTTATGCGTCAAACTTTTATAGTATTTTAAATACACACCAGTTTTCACAAATAACCTTATTATTATTACTTCTAATTTTTCGATTATTTTATGTCAAACGTCAATAAAAAAAGTTTGAAAAATCCAAAAGTGCACGACTCATAACGCTCATATGATCGTGAAAAAAATGTAGAAAAAATTCTCAATCAAAGAAAAGATTCCAAAAAATATTATTGTTTATTGTAAAAACTTTTAACAGAATTATCTTAAATCGATCAGAAATCAACTGTAATATTGCTTTAATTTTTAGGTACAATAAAATTTCTTTCTCATAACTTTTATTTCTTTTTAAAAAGTTTTTCATCTACTCATAGGCAGTATTTTAATTTATCATTCACCAAAGTACACCTCAAGTCACTGCATAAAGTCCAAGACATATAACATATAGCATAAACACTCACGCCTGTCACCCAGATGGGTAGACAGACTACAGACTCCAAGACATATAAGTATATTTATATATAAATCCTGCAACGTACTTTTAGCGAAACAATATTTGTAATGAAAATCAGTGATTATAAAAATAATAATAATATTTTACCTTGGTCAAGTAAGTGTATCATATTTGGTTTTTGCAATATTTTATATTTCTAGCAAAGAAGAAGCACGAGAGTAGGATAAATGCAGTAGAAATGCGGTCGCTAAGGAGTATGTTAGGGCTGAATCTGAGTGACAGGGTGAGAAACTGTGTGATAAAAGAAGAGTGTGGTTTGCAAGATGATGCGGTGACCAGGATTAAGAAAGGAATGCTTCGGTGGTTTGGTCATGTAGAAAGAATGAATGCGGAAAGACTGATAAAGCAAATATATGTTGCAGAAGTGAATGGAAGAGTCGGAAAGGGACGTCCTAGGCGGAAGTTTGTCGACCAAATTGGCGATATACTAAAAATGGGCCAAATTAAGAGTACCCTTAACCGACGAGCATGTATGCGTAGGTATATGGATGGTAAGAGGCGAGAAAGGTGTGTCAGGATCGTGCTAAATGGAAGTCTGTAGTCTTTGCCTACCCGTCTGGGTGACAGGCGTGAGTGTTTATGTATGTATGTATTTATATTTCTACAGCGATCGATATTTTTTATCACGAGTCGCTGTAAACAAATGTTACAGTAATCCACTCACGACGGCAGCCGATTCCGGAGTGAGTCAAAGTATAGTATCTGTATTTAGTAAAACATATTATTACAGGGCTGCTCAAACAGTAAAAAATTTCAGAATTTCTCAGTCGAAAAAAATTAATTATAACTAAACAAAAAAAAATTAAACAGCCATTTACATTCCATGTCTTCCCACATGATAGATGAAGGGATAAAAAAATTGATTTATTTAAACAAATGATATTTTCAAAAGTTACCGTGTTTACCCCTCCATGCGGACTTCATAAATCTACACCATAAGCCACTAAAACCATTTTTAATGTAAAAATAGTAATTAACCGTTGAAATAATACTAGTTTTTACGGAATTTATCGCGTATATTTAACTTTTTAAACACCCGACGTTTCGAACGCTTTACAGCACTCATGGTCACGGGCGGGACTGAGATGTTCAACGTCCATATGTCATAGTTAACCGCGGTTACCATAGATTAAAATTTAACTTTTGTTCCGATCTATACAGTATGAACTTATGGTATCTTGAAGTCTTGCAGTTGTATGCTTGGGTTGGGATTTAATTTTATTTATTATCGGATCCCAAGCAGATGGTAGCACCCAGCCATCTTCTCTATTGAAATTAGGATGTTTTTTGATTTCAATAGCCTCACGAATCATCCTTGGAAGGAATCGGTGTTCTTTAGCGAGGATTTGCGGTCTATGAAATCTGATGTAGTGACGGGGGCGATCCTGTACGTGTTCACCGACTGCAGACTTCCCGGAGCGTCGATTCTTCACATCAGCTATACGTTCTTTAACGCGGGTTTTTATTGATCTTTTAGTTTGTCCTATGTAGGAGAGACCACATTCACAATCAAGCTTGTACACTCCTGCATCTTGCAGAGGGACATTACACTTGACTGATGGTAAAAATTGACCAATCTTCTTCAGCGGCTTGAAGTATGTTTTGATGGAAGCACGCTTCAAGATGTAGCCAATCTTGTCAGTGACTCCTCTAACATATGGCAGTACAGCAGGTACACGCTCGACTGTGGCCGGCTTCACTCGTTCACTGTGACGTAGGCGCGGGACTCGAAGTTTGTTGTCATGCAAAACTTGCTTGACATGGTGGAGCTCGGCAGCCAGGTGTTTACTGTCACAGATCCCTCGTGCTCTCTGAAACAAAATTTACCCACGGTAGCTAACTGTGAAGGATGGTGGTGAGAATCACGGTTTAAATATCTATCTGTAAGGGTCTTTTTTCTATACACGGTATGGCTCAAGGTGTTATCAGGATTCCGAATTACTAACACATCTAGAAAAGCTAAGGAATTGTTTGCCTCTAACTCCATTGTAAACTGAATTTTAGAATTTATAGAGTTAAGATGGTCTAAAAATGCAGTTACTTTATCTAAAGGTAGAATTGTGAAAGTGTCGTCTACGTACCCGCTTGAAGAATCTTGGATTTATGGGAGCCAGATGTAAGGCAGTGTCTGAGTAAAACTGCATATTCTACGGGCATGTTGTTTTCTTCCAGCCTTCTAGTTACCAAATCACCAAAATTGTATGGGTTACCAAAAATACACAAGCACAATGCTCCATTACGTCCCATAGTGAGCCAAATCGATTCACCAACTTACAGATTGGCTCAACACTTAGCGAAAATACTCTCACCGCTCAGG